GGCGACGACGACGGCGACGACGACGACCACGGAGACGGCGACGACGACGGCGACGACAACGACGACGACGGCGACGACGACGATGACGACGACGACGACCTAACGGGCGGGTCTGGCGGGCGGACCCTGACGGGCGGGTCGGGGGCGGGCGGGCTTGGGGCGCCTCGAGGGCCCCGCTGCCTAAGTGGGCTTCTGGGGCTATGCTGCTCCCATCCCAAAAATAATTTCGAGCACCCGGAAGTAATCTCGAGCGCCCAGCAGTAATTTCGGGCACCCAGGAGTAATTTCGAGCCGAAGGACCACATCCCAGAAGTCATCTCGAGCACCGCCTCCCAGGGCCCGACGCGTGACAGCCCTCGGGTTTCGGTATTCTCTTGGTGCTCGAACATCTGTCTGGGGACCAAGGCTAAACGTAGGCTGGAACGTCATACTTCTAGGGCGCACGGGCCTCCCCTGACAGCTGAAAAAGCCAGCTGCTCTTGCAGTCAACCAGTATTGTAGGGAGGCGCGATAAGGATGCAAGGGCCTTGCACGCCCATATCGAAGCTTTTCGAGCAGGGCCCGGCCAGCGAAAGCGGCGAAGGATGGGCCGAGGAGGCAAGGATGCAAGGGTACCCTTGGGAAGGTTGCCCATCCTTACTATGCGGGTTGACTGCACAGCAGCGCGCTTTTTCGGATCCGAGGTTCTCCTCGGGGCCAGGAAGGCTGCGGCGTCCACGCGCGCGCCGTGCAGCGCGCGAGAAAGGGCAGGAGGTCCATATCACGAGGGCGAAGAAACTCTCAAAACAGACCACGAGGAAGAAGCGACCCTCGAAGCATCAAGACGACGATCACGACTTTGTTCTGCCGCCCTCGAAGACCTGGCGGCACGCCGGCGCGTGCACGGCGGCAGCGGCGGAAGCCGGAGACCCCCAGGGCACATCTGCTCTAAGGGGGGCTTGCACTCGCCTCCCCTGGGATCGAAGCAGAGGCAGAGAATTAGCAGACACTCAGAGGGCATCCATGCACCACCACTGTGCCTGGCACGGTGGTGTCCAGATGCCCTCTGCGAGGACCAGCTGCCAGAAGGGAGTCTGCGAGGGCGGGAGGGAGGAGGGGACAGCGAGGAAGAGGGAGGAGGAGGGAGGACGGGGAGGAAGAGGGGGAGACGGGGGAGGACGAGGAGGAGGGGGCAAATGGACGAGCAGGGAGCGAGGACGGGCGCGGAGAGGACGACGAGGGGACGCACGCGGCAAGGAAGAGCAGTGGGCCCGACGGCGCGCCGACGATCGCGCGCGCCCGGCGGCAGCGGCGGGGCCGGAGAAGTGGCGGGGTGGGGGAGGAAGCCGAAGACAGCTGCGCGCGGGCAGCGGCCGGGCGTCCGCGCAAGCCGCGGCACCACTGGACGGGGCGACGAGGCGAAGGAAGGAAAGGACGTACAGAGACATACTACAAATTACTAGACGTCCTCCACGGAGGCGCGCGTCCGACCGGAACACATAGCATGATTACCCATCTTGTAGTATATCGTTTCCCGAGCGGTGGGGCCAGAAAACGCCCGCCACGGCACATGCACGATGAGATGCCTCGCTGCGCGCGTCTCCCCGGGGGGGGGCGACGCACACGTAGCCTTACTACGTTGGGGTGGCACCGAAGGGAGGGAGAAGCGCGAAGAGGGAAGCCCCCGGCACGAAGGGAGCGGGCCCTGGAGGAGCAGGGTCGGGTCTCGCCCGCAACCTCCAGGCGTTGAAGCCGTCGAGAACAGTGGGCCCTGAGATTGCTGCTGGAATGTGTGATCTGTGCGTCAAAACCACTCGGAAGCTCGATGGGCATGCATCGCATGTTGCTTGGTCGCTATGCGTTGTGTCCGTCCAGGATGAGCACCGCTGGTTGGCCAACGGCAGGGCAGGCTTCCAAACGGCGTGTTGGACAGCCCCTGCGAAGGGTACAACATAAGAGTCTCGCGCGCGGCGTTCGGCTGAGATCCGCCGACCCTTTCGGCGTGTGCGAAGGGTTTGTCTGTTCGAGTCATATTCTCCGTCAGTCGTCGTCTGCGTCGTCCCCTTTCTCCGCACCCTCCTCAAGCCTACCAGAGAATGAAACACCTCGCACTGTCGTACTCGAACCGAAAGAAAACCCTTTCCCTTCGATCCCTCCCCGGACGGAGGATGAAAAGGGGAGGGGTCGGCGCCGGACCGAGGAATGAGCGGTGTGCTGTGCGCCGCGAGTGCGGAAGAGCCGATAACACAAATGTCAGCACAACGACGAGAGAAACGAAAGGAGGCGCCCCGCATCCCAGCCCTCCTCGGGGTGCCGTCGAAGAGGCCCCGGCGATACGGGGGATGGTGGGCGCGTGTCCGGGATCGGGGGCACGGACGCCGCTCCGCGCTGCGCCCATGGCCATGTGGCCGGGGACGATGATCTGGAGGAGGAGAAGGAGGATGCTGCGTGCTCGAGCATGAAGTCCGAGCAGCGTCAAAAGGAGGAGGAGGAAGAGGAGGACGGAGGAAAAATAGCGCGGAGGAAAAATAGCGCACACACCAATATGCTTATGTATGGCCAACGTGAATAATTCGCCTGGCGAAGGACCCAACCATATGCAGTTGTGAATACCGCAATTGTGAGTATCTGTTTCGGTGGCGTTCCCTATGAGGCCACGAACCGTATGGGGGGCGTGCCGGCTCGTGTGACGGGGTACACAACACGAGCGAAGACGACAGGTCAAATTACGAGAGACCCAGCGCGGGTGAGTCTGAGCGCGAGTGGGACTGAGCGTGAACGCGCGCGAGTGAGTATACTTTCATGAATGCGAACATGGCCACGCCCGGTGTACATGTACATGAATGTAAATGGTTCGGGTACGTCTGACTCTGAGTACTCGTGACACTGAGGGCGGCCGCCACAGGGAGCGCCCCCAGGACCCCCGACAGCAACGCCCGCACGCCGCGACGCCCATGTCGGCACGCCCCCCACGAGGATCGCGCCAGCTTCCCTTCCCTTCTGTTCTTCCCTCTTTGCCCGCGCGCTCCAATGTCCAAGGCTGCGGGCGCAGCGCAATGCGGAGTCCCCGCGACGCGCGCAGGTCGCCCCGGGGGGGTCCTAACGACCCGCGCGTATCGTCCGCTGTGCGGATCAGAAGTGCTTGCTGGCTGACTGATAGCGCGCATGGCTCTGCCTGCTGGGCGGAGCGACGAAAGGCGAACGAGGCGCTGGGCAGAGCGCAGCGCGCAGTTCGCGCGACGCGCGCTGGTCGCCCCGAGAAATTCCCAAAATGTGGAGCGGAACCGCATGCGAACGCAGCCGCTGAGGCCTTCCGTGGAGTTCCCTGTGGGGCCACGAAACGTGTGAGGGGTGTGCCGAAATGGGGGGCGGAACTGCATGCGAACGCAGCTACAGGGGCCTTCGGTGGAGCTCCCTATGGGGCCACGAAGCGTGTGAGGGGTGCGCCGAAATGGGCATGCGAGAGAGCAGAGGCAGGGAGGCGAGGGGGAGGAGGGGGAGGAGGAGTGAGTGAGAAGACGCGGGGCGCTGTCTCTTCAAAACGAGGACCCAACACCACAAGATGGTTAGGAAAAACGGTCAGGGCGCCGACGGTGCATGCCTTCGGCTGGGGTCCCTGGCGAATGCGTGTGATATTCGCCCCTGGTCTTTTCGCCCCCATCGTCGCCGCCGAGGCATTGTGGTATCTTGGCTCGCGCAGCCGCTTTCCCTGTCACCTCCAGGCGCCAGGGACTCCAGGGTAGTTATCGGGTGACAGCTCCCCAGCGGCGGAGCCGAAACCAGCTGCATGCAGCAGACTGGGCACACCGCTCCGTCCTCCCCCCGTTCCCCTGTGGTCCGACCCAGATCCCTGGAGGGCCTTGTATGTCCTGTAAGTCTAATGCGGCCTCTCTTTTTGTGCCCAACGCGGGCTAGACCTGGATTTGGGCGCGGATTTGGGGCGGATTCTTCGACGTTCGTTTAGGTCGGGCATGTCCTCCTACAGGCGGTTTTTCGGCAAAAAAAAATGAGTGTTTTGAATGGAAAATTAAAAATATTCAAACATAGTCAAACGTCGTACATTTTTATATACAAAAAAAGCGGCGCCATGGGGCCGAGCAGACCCCTGTGTGTTGTCAGACAGGCCCAGGGCGAGGCGAGGGCGGTGGGGCGGGGAGGCAAGCAGGACTGGGGACCACGACAGAGAGGACGGGGCAGAGGCAGGAGAGCCCAAAATGGAATCGATAAGTCGGATCGGCGACCGACATGACGCGGATCGGCGGAAATCGGCAGCCGAGTCGGGAAACTTTGAATCGGCGGAAATCGGGGGAAACTTTGAATCGGCGGAAATCGGCAGGCGAACATGCCTCCGGTAAGGAATCGGAGCCCGAGTCGGAATCCCGAATCGAATCGAAGCGGAATCGGAAGCCGTCGACATCGAACCCGGTCGCATCGGAGAAGTCGAAACGAGCCCTGGGAAGGGGAGGACAGAAGATGAGCAAAAGTGGAAAAGGGACAGAAACACGCACATTCGTTGAGCAAGGACCGACCGTCCCGGCTATAGGCCTATCACGAAATGTTCTTAGAACCCAAAAATATTATAATAACAAAAGCACTGTTCTTAGAACATCAACCCGATGCGTTAAAACAAGACAGTCCCAGCCAGCAATGCTCTAAGAACATGTCGTGGAAACCACAAAGAAGGTTCTTGGAACACTGTCTGGTAGGCCTAAAAGCACGCCAGGACGCTCCGCCACTGCTTGAGAGAGAGAGAGAGAGAGAGAGAGATGCACATTCGGCTCGCAACACCGAAAGGTCGAGCCGGGCTGCGTCAGCCGCCCGGCACCTTCTCCAGAAGCAGAAAAACATCACGGCACCCGCACATCATCCTCTGTCGGAGGCCCGCGCGGAGTTCCAGGGGCGACGAGGGAGGCGAATAGCCCAGGGGAGAGCAACCTCCTCCTCCTGCTCCTCCTCCTCCTCCTCCTCCTCCTCATCCTTCTGCTCCTCCTCCCCCTCATCCTAGCACAGGGAAGAGCAATACGTGTATCCAAGGGCGCCGATGGCCCATGCCTCCGGCGAGGCTCCCGGGCGAATGCATGTGACGCCCGCCCCTGGGCTCCTCGCCCCTATCGTCGCCCCCGAGATTCCATGCAAGGGCTCCTAAGTTCGCGCTTCGCGCTGCGCGAAGCGCGAATAACTTCGCGCTCTCGCGCCGCCCCCCAAGGGAAAGAAGAGGAGGACGAGGAGGAGGAGGAGAAGGAACGAGGACCGCGAAGCGCGAAGCGCGAATAACTTCGCGCCCTCGTGGGAGCCCTTGCCATGGGTCGGCGCTAGACGACCCCCCTCCCCGGCGCACGAAGCGTGCCAACAAGCGCCGCCAGGGAGAGCACGGCGCCAGCCAGAGAACCCGCGCGGACCTCGGGAGGCGCACGTGTTATGCTGTGTGTGTTCTTCTTCGGACCTTCTTGGACGACATGTAGGCGATCCTGTCCAGCAGGGCGCTGAACTCCCGCCGCGCCTCTGGCGAGGGAAACTCGCGCAGCCCGCGCACGAACTCCTCGGGGGACCCAGGCGCCCGCGCGAAGGCCTTGAGCTGCTCGCCGAGGTAGCTCACGCCCTCCTCGCCCAGCGCGTCCTTGTGCGTCCTAAAGGCAAAGAATGTCCGCACTGAATCGGGAAGTCGGATCGGATCGGAATATGCCCGGTCGGGCTGCATCGACGTGTATCGGAGCTCTAATCGGATACGCCCAAATGTATAACAGCACCGCCGTGCGATCGGATCGGACCGAAACCGAACGGAGCGACCCGGATCAACCAGAAATGGACCCTCGAAGGAGTTCCCAAACCACGGACGTCGTGTGTTCTTCGGCGGCGAGCGAGGGGGGCAAGTGAGGAGGACAAGGCCTTCTCAGAAGCTTCGGAAGTCCCCTGGCCTTCCGAGAGGTTCTCTAAGCCTTCCCCGAAGACAGACAAAGACTCCCCAGAAGGCGCGAGGGCTTCTGAGAAGTCCCGCCGCCTTCTGAGAATAGGGGAACAAAAAGTGACATAAACATAAAAACTCGGAGGGAAGTCCGCGCGGATTTCTCGGATCGGCGCTGGACCCACCTTCCTGGCGCGCGGAGCGCGCCAGGGGCGGCGCCGGAGGCGCCGCCGGGGGTCCCCAGCGCCGATCCGAGAAATCCGCGCGGACCTCCGAGCTTTTATGTTCATGCCACTTTTTGTTCTCCTAGAGAAGGCCTTCGCCTTCTCATTTCCCCCCCCTCGCTCGCCGCCGAGTTCTCCACCTGCGTGACCTCCGAGGTCGGGGCCCCATAGTCCCCTGGACTGGTCGTTCGCCCCGAGCCTTGCTCTGCCGGCCCGACGGCCTGGTAAGGTGAAGGGGCCCTCGGACACACAAATAAATGAACACAAATACAAAGATTCCCATATTTTCCTATATTTTCGGTGTTTCTGTCCTCCCCTCACGTTCCATATTTTCTCATATTTTCTGGAGAGTCGACGATTAATTGTGTCTGTGTGTTTCTTTTCCTCCTGGTAAGGGCCCTCACAGAAGAGCAGAGAACGGCGATAACCCGCAGAAAAAGAGAAATGCTGCAGCGGGCCCCTGCCGGCCGTTCCAGTGCAGACTCGGAGCGCCCCGACGGCCCTGGAGCCACTGAACGGGGGTCACATGCGAACCCTACCCCTGCCCTCCACAACTTCTGAGGGGGAGCGTGGGGCTCACTTCGTCCGGGAACTCCCGAGCGAAGTGAACCCCACCCTCCCCTTCAGAAGTCGTGGGGGGCAGGGGTAGGGTTCGCATGTGGCCCCCTAGCTGATTCCCCTACGAGGCCACCCACAGCGACGGCACAAGCGTAAGATCCGACCGAGCCGACAGTGAAATCGGAACCAACCAAAACCGACGGGCCCAGCGCAGTCCACAATGGGCGGGCAACGACACAACAGCCGACCGGACCGAACCAGTCACACACAACCAACTGCGACGCAGCCCAGCCGACCGAACTTTGGAAATCCTGGCCACCTTGGGCGTGCGGAAGAAGAAGGTCCCAGGCAGAGGGGGGGAAGCGCATCGTGGCCTAAAGCATTTTCGCGCACGGGTGGACCAAGTAATGCATTGAAAGAGGCAGAGGGGGCAATGACATCTGCGAGATATCGTTTCCCCAACCATGATATCTACACACGCGCCTGCACGCACGCAAACACACATCCACCTTTACCCACCCACTCACCCACCCACCCTTTCACACACACACACACACGCACGCACACACGCACACACACACACACACGCACGCACGCACGCACGCACGCAACAAACACAACCACTCACAAAACACACACACACATTCACACACACACACGAGCACGAACACGAACACGAACACGAACACGCACACGCACACGAACACACAGAAAATGAACACGCGCACTGACGCAAGCACGCACGCACCCACACAAACACACACACACAGACAGATATACATACATACACACGCTTGAAAGATGCATGGGGCACATAATCTCGGCCGCGATGCGCATCGTGCGCACAATGATGACGCCCCCCTCCCCTCCGACATTATCCCAATTTGACATGGATGCCATGAACCTGATGAGCGTGGTGCATGTGGATTGGGTGCACGCGTCATCGGGCAGCGCTGGCCTCCTCGCGAACGGGCGATGCTGTACCGAGGGTGCAATCTGGGACCCAGCAGCGCATCCTTGGCGAACAAGGACAGAGCGCCAACCCGACTTGATGAGAACTGTTGCACACAAGTGCCGCATTTCTTTCCAATTGCCTGGTTGCATGTCGGGTGCGCCATTCCGTTCATAATACTGCCTCTCGACAGCCCCTTAGGAACAAGGGTTCCATAACACACGGCCACCCCGTCGCGATCGATCGCCCAGCTCGCGCGCCCCGATGTAGCTCCGAATATGCACGCGGCAATCTCATTCGCGAAGTCCGCCCCTTCTCCGCGGCGGCCATCCGGCAACTTTCTGCACGCGCGACGTGCCCACAATGATGACGCCCACCTCCCCTCCTACATTCTTCTCCCCTTCTTTGGAGTGTCCGGACAAGGGCCCCTGCGCACACCGCCCACCAGGATGGGCAAATTCTGCCCCCCCCGCTCGAACAAAGAGCAACGTGGACCCCCAATAAGCAGCAACGTGGATGCCTCTGACGGGCTCAAACCCCTTCAACACCGGATGTCGCTCTACCAGAGGAGGGCCTGGACATTACGCGGCGGCGGAAGGTCTTCCAATACCTGGAGATTCGCGCCGCCATTCCACTGGAGATTCGGATCACGACGCGACCTGGCACGATGTTGCACGTGAACACGCTCAAGCCGTTTTGTTTTCTGTGTTTTCCGTCGCGCACAGCTGGCCAGTCCGAACCCCCCCATGCCGGGACGCATCCCAACACATATATGATCCGAGGTCGAACGCCCATGGCCCCCACCACACCCCAAGATGGGGTGGGTCCCAGGAGTCCACGGACCCCCTCCCTCCCCCAGATGGGATTGGGGGCGACGGCGACGACGACAACGGCGACGGCGACGGCGACGACGACGGCGGCGACGGCGACGACGGCGACGACGACGACGGCGACGGCGACGACGGCGACGACGACGGCGGCGACGACGACGGCGACGACGACGGCGACGACGACGACCTCCAGAACGCTCCGACAATGACGACGGCGGCGGCGATGACGACCTTTGGCGCTCTGATGAAGCACCACAGTACCACGCCACACACGCCACACCCACAGCACCACACCACACCCACAGGGGGGGACGACCCATCAAGGGGAAGGAGGGCCCGATGCCATCAGCATGGTGGGGGGGCCCTCTGGAACTGGGTCATATATGCACGCGCGCCCCCATGCTGTCCAACTCCCCCCTGCCAGCCCCGCCGCCCACCCTCACCCCTTGCCATCCCTCCACCCTAAACCCCGTCCCCCAATTTTGCTCTCTTCGTTCGGCCTTGGATGGCGAGACGGTCTTTCCAACAAGCCTTGGCCCACTTACGTGAACAAACTCGCTGCGTGGCAATATGCCCCAAGGGGGCAATGTGGCCGTTTCGCCCTACCCTTGGTTTTGGGCTGTACCTTCTGGTCCGCTGCAGATCAGATTGCCGATCTGATTCTGGTCCGCTGCAAACTAACAGTTCCCTATATGCAGGGACTGCCTCGCCATGGCGGATGTAACTGACGGGTCGGCCGTCGAAACGGTTCTTGGGCCTTCGCCGGTGTTGCGGGGAAGGGCCCATGACCCCCGCGAACGGTGGCCCGAACACACAATTGAGCAACTCCCGGAACACAATCTCGGCCACGACGCGCGTAGTGCCCACAAAGATGGCGCCCCCCCCCTGCCATATTCTTCCATGAGCCTGACGAACGTGGTGCATGTAGACTGGGCGCGTGTTTGCGGGGGCGCCCCCCCGGCCTCCCGACGAAGGGGCGTTGCTGTACCCATGACGTAGACCGCGACCAAGCTGCGTGTCGTAGGCCAAGCAATAATTAAATGCCTACCAGACTGGACGGGATCTGTTGCGCGCAATGCGTGACCCTTTTTTCCAATTGCCATGTTACACGTCGGGCGCACCATTCCGTTCATCCTACTGTCTCCCGGCCGCCCTTTAGGAACAGGTCCCTCATAACACATGGCCGCTCCGTCGCGACCGATCGCCCAGCTTATGCACTTTAGCTCCGGACAACGGCAAATCCACTCGCAAAGTCCCCGCCCCCTTTTCCCCCCCCCCATGCAAGTCTCAGACGCGGCCATCCAGCAACTGTCGGCCCGCACGACGTGCCCACAATGGTGACGTCCCCGTCCTCTCCTCTCCCCCTGCTTGTGATGTCCAGACAAGGGCCCCCGCGCACACGGCCGAGTGGGGTGAGCAAGCCGTGCCCCCCCCCCGCCCTCCCAACAAAAGCTAGCCTGGCGAAGGACCTAACCATATGCAGTTGTGAGCACCGCAATTGTGAATATCTTCTTCGGTGGCGCCCCCCTATTAGGCCACGAGCCGTAGGAGCGGTGTGCCGAAATGTGTGGCGGGGTACACAACACGAAGGAAGACGATAGGTCAAATTGCGAGAGACTGAGCGCCTGTGGGTCTGAGCGCAAATCATGCTGAGTGTGAATGCGCGCGAAAGAATATACTTGCATGAGTGCCAGCGTGGCCACGCCGGGTGTGAATTTATATGAATGTATATGACTCGGGTACGCCTGACACTGAGTACTCGTGACACTGAGGGTGGCCGCCGCAGGGAGCTTCCCCGGGAACCCCGACGGCAACGCCCGCACGCCGCGACGCCCATGTCGGCACACCCCCCACAACGATCGCGCCCGCTTCCTACCCTTCTTTTCCTCCCTCTTTGCCCGCGCATTCCAAACTCCAAGGCTGCGGGCGCAGCACAGCGCGGAGTGCCCGCGACGCCTTGCTGGCAAACTGATAGCGCGCAAGGCTCTGCCCGCTGGGCGGAGCGACGGAGGGCCAGCGAGGCGCTGGGCAGAGCGCGGCGCGGAGGTCGCGCGACGCGCGCTGGTCGCCCCGAGAAGGCCCCAAAATGTGGAGTGGAACCGCGTGCGAACGCAGCCACTGGGGCCTTCGGTGGAACTCCCTGTGGGGCCACGAAGCGTGTGAGGGGTGTGCCGAAATGGGAGGTGGAACCGCATGCGAACGCAGCCACTGGGGCCTTCGGTCGAGATCCCTATGGGGCCACGAAACGTGCGAGGTATGTGCCGCAATGGGGGGTGGAACCGCATGCGAACGCAGCCGCTGGGGCCTTCGGTGGAGCTCCCTGTGGGGCCACGAAGCGTGTGAGGGGTGTGCCGAAATTGGGGGGGTGGTGCATGCGAACGCAGCCATTGGGGCCTTCGGTGGAGCTCCCTATGGGGCCACGAAACGTGTGAGGGGCGTCCCGAAAGGGGGGGCGGAACCGCATGCGAACGCAGCCACTGGGGCCTTCGGTAAGGCTCCCTGTGGGGCCACGAAACGTGTGAGGGATGTGCCGAAACGGGAGGTGGAACCGCATGCGAACGCAGCCACTGGGGCCTTCGGTGGAGCTCCCTGTGGGGCCGCAGAACGTGTGAGGTGCGTCCCGAAAGGGATGGAACCGCATGCGAACGCAGCCACTGGGGCCTTCGGTTGGGCTCCCTGTGGGGCCACGGAACGTGTGAGGGGAGTGCCGAAGTGGGGGGGTGGAACCGCATGCGAACGCAGCCACTGGGGCCTTCGGTCGAGATCCCTATGGGGCCACGGAACGTGTGAGGGGCGTCCCGAAAGGGAAATTGGAACCGCATGCGAACGCATCCACTGGGGCCTTCGGTGGAGCCTCCTGCGGGGCCACAGAACGTGTGAGGGGTGCGCCGAAATGGGGAGTGGAACCGCATGCGAACGCAGCCGCTGGGGCCTTCGGTGGAGCTCCCTATGGGGCCACGAAGCGTGCGAGGGGCATGCAAACACACTGTGTGGCACACTCAAACATTCGCAAGCAAAGTTGTCTGCCCCTTTCGCCCAGCGCCTTTACCTTTTTTAAGCGCGCCTGAGCAATGAGACCTCCACTGAGTCGAAGCTGAACTGGCAATGACATTGACTTCGGAGTTCAGCTGATATTTTCGTCCCTCCCCATCGCGCGCAGCAGGCGGGCTCCTTGTCACCATGCGGAGCTCCCCCCCGCCCCAGGGCGCACCCCAAGACATACATGCACGCACGCCACCACCCCGTCCACCTCTCCCCCGCCATCCCCGCCGCCCACCCGCACCTCCCATCCATCCCTCCACCCTGAATCCCGTCCCCCATTTTGTTTTGCGTCCACGCCCAGATATCCGGACCGTCTTTCCAAGAGGCCCTGACCCTGCTAGGTGAGCAAGCTCGCTGCGTAACAGCCTGCTCCCCGAGAGCCATGTGGGCGGTCCGCCCTACCTTCGATTTTCGGCTGTACCCTCTTTTTCCGCTGCACGCCGCCCAGTTGTCAAAATCTGCCCCTTAGATAACGGGGCTGCCTACCACAACTCCAGACAACATCAAATTCTGAGTCTGTGCTTTGGCAGATCTCACCGAAGGGTCGGCCGCCGAAGCGGTCTTTTGGGACCCCGCGGGTGTTGCGAGGGAGAGCTCAGGACCCCCGCGAGCGGGGGTCCGAAGACGCTTGAAGAATGCCCGAGGCAAAGAAACTCTGCCGCGATGCGCACCACGCCCGTAATGATGACGTCCCCCTCCCCATCTACACGCACGTACACACGCACACACACACACACACACACACGCGAACAATGTTTGACGTCGCGGCTTCGCGCGCAGCGCCGAGGCGTAGCGTAGAAGGTCGAAAAAGGGAAAATGGAAAACGCGCGCGGCCAGCCCAATCAGAAGTCATAGGGGATCAACCATACCATACGCAAACTCAGGGCAGGGATGCGGGGTGAAAGACGCGGGGGACAGACGAGGAGGAGACCGACGGCCAGTGCATACAGTGCAGGCGGGACAAGACGGGGCGCAGCGGCGGCGGTAAGGGCGAGACCGCGAGGGGCGAGTGACAAGCCAGGCCGGGAAGCGCGGGCGCAGCGGGCAGGAAAGTGAGGGAGACGGCGGGAACACCGCGCGCACACACACACACACAGACACACACACACACACAAAAAAACACACCCCTGGCCATCGCTCGGACGTCCATTCCCTGTGCTTATTTCGGTTTCGTGCGTGGTTTTTCGCCAAATGATCAAGGATGCTCCTCGATGGTCCTCGCCTAAGGAAAAATGCACACGTCCGAGCGATGCCAGGACCCTCGTGGTCCTCACCACAGGACGGCGGCAGGCTGGGGGGTCGAGTCTCCGAGAGCCGGCGGGTCTGGCAGACGCGCAGGGCGCGCCGCGGCCGTTCCGGAGCGCTCGGGAAGGCTCTCAGAGAGCTGCCGGACTCTCGGAGGGACATATCTCGGGAGCGGAAAAGAGGGGGGTGTCCAAGAGGGGGGGGCGCAAATCATGACCGGCGGCATGTGCGCGGCCCAGCGGGGGGACCAGGGACGTAATGAAATAAGAAGAGGCGCCATGAAATTTGGGGAGATATCATGGCCCCCGCCATGAGATCCACCCCCCCCTAGTCATCACCCCCCTCTTTTCCGCTCCCGAATATCCTCATCCTGGGCATGCCTGACCGCTCTCCGGTCACGGAGGGCGCTGTGCGAGCTTCGACCGGACAAAGGGGGCCGAGCTCGGGGAGATGCAATCAGAGGGCGCCCATCCTGGACAGGGGGTGCGCCCGAATGCCTCCCAGGGGGTGTAACCACATCTCCGAGGTCCCCCCTTCCTGAGCGGCACGGACTTGGGTGGGGAGCTCGGGGACAGGGGGGGCGAAGCATCGCCTGCGATTGGACGCCCTGGGCACGCCTGAAGAGGGCCAGCAGGCCGGGCAGCACCTTCTTCAGCTCGCCCGGCTCCAGCGCAGGCAGCGGTGCGCCGCCCTCCGCGCGCGACACCCAGAACTCCGACGCTGTGGCTTGTCTTCCCCCCAGCAGGCCTGCCTGGGCCCCTGCCCCGTGGGACCCGAGCCGTGTCCCGACGGCCTGGGGGGGCGGCCCGGCAAGGGTCACTGCGCCGACCTTGCAGACGTGCTGCAGCGGACTTGCGCGTGGATTTCTGTCAATGCATAACCCCGAAACGGCGAATGAAAAACGAAACGAATTCCGCGTGGATGTTTTTTAATCTTCTTTCCTGGCCAAACAACCGCACGGAATTCACCTCGAAATCCGGAACGAAATTATCCAGGACACTCCGGGCCCATCTTTTCATTGTCCGGACGAAATCCGCTCTGCGATGTTGGCGCCATGACAACGGACCCCCCAGAGACCGACAAGTCGAGCACAAGACTCCCTTCCCCAAGCATCCGACGCCTTGATGTTTTTGAGCTCCGGGTTTCCCAGAGTCCCAACTTTTTCTTCCGAGGACCGGCTTCCCTCCCAAATAATCCTTTGATGGACCTGGGTCCCCGCGAAAGCCCCAGGAGGCCGAATACGGAAAGCAAAACATACGAAGCGTCTTTGTTGTGACCACGACGCGAGCAATGCCTGGGTCGTGATCCCCCTTTCCTAGAAGGGAGGACCTCTGGGGGCGCCTCCACCTCCGCGGGCGACGGCTCCGCCTCTGCGCCGCCGCCCTCCGCGCGCGACAGCTCTGCCTCTGCCTGGCGGCGCGCGCAAGGGGATATGGGGAGGGGGGAAGGCTTACGGCAGGTTCGTGTCGTGCCGACTTCGGCGTTGGTTTCTGACACCGCAGGGATCGTTCAACCTTGAACGATCGGCCGCTGCCGCAACGTCCGATCGTTCAACATCGATCGATTCTGGGTCGCCAGCGGCGTTCAACCTTGAACGCCCGCGCTGGGGTCGCCGCTGGTCGACACGACGCAAACCTACAGTACATGAGGAAGGCTGCTTCTTAGACGGCGCCGGCCCAATACTTAGCCCTCCCCTAGAGGCCTCCCAGATGGGGATCCGAGTACATGGGGTCGGAGGCTTGAACCGCATCGCCAATGTATCGCCGATGCATCGGCGACGTCGGCGACGCATCGGAGACGTCGGCGTTGAGAAAATCTGGCTCCGCATCGAGCTGAATCGCCAATGCATCGGCGATGCATCGGCGATGCGGCGCGGTCCTCCGACCCCATCTACTCCGACCCCATCGCGGAGGCCCGCATCCCCCCTATCCTTAGGTCGGGCACGTCCCCCTACAGGCGGATCTTGAACGAAAAAACGAACATACCCCCCCAATGCTCAAACATTGTTCAAAAACACACTAGGATAATTCGTCCCCAGACTTTTTTGTTTCATTACTCTTGATTAGCCCTAGGGGCAGGAGGCAGGAGGAGAAGGAGGAGAAGGAGGAGAAAGAGGAGGAGAGGACGAGAAGGAGGAGGAGGAGGAGAGGACGAGGAGGAGGAGGAAGAGGAGGTGGAGGAGGAGGAGGAGGAGGAGGAGGAGGAGGAGGAGGAGGAAGGAGGAGAGGAGAGGAGAGAGAGGAGGAGGAGGAGGAAGAGGAAGGAGAGGACGAGGAGGAGGAGGAGGAGGAAGAGGAAGAGGAGGCCCGACTTGACCCTGCCCCACCTCCGCGCGCAGCTGCTCCGCGGCCCTCGCCGCGCGCGCCAGCTCATCCTCCGAGGGCAGAGCGCCGGCCTCCGCGCGCCCCGCGGTCTCGAAGTAGTCGTGCAGGCGCGGCGGCAGCAGGCGCCAGGGCGGCCTGGTCCTCCTCCTCCTCCTCCTCCTCCTCCTCCTCCTCCTCCTCCTCGCTCCTCCTCCTCCTCCTCCTCCCTCCTCCTCGCTCCTCCTCCTCCTCCTCCTCCTCCTCTTCCTCCTCCTCCTCCTCCTCCTCCTCCTCCTCGCCTGCGGCCCCGTCGTGGCCACACTAAACTCGGCGGTGGACAAACCTCCCTTTAGTCAACCTCCCCTTAGTGAAAACGGCCTGGGACCGAAACCGACGGACCTGGACCCGCAAAAACGACGGCCGCGACGCCCTCTCGCGAACCGAAAACGGCCAATTCCTTAATCGACGTGTCAGGGTAGGAGGTCTATCCGCCCCCGATCAACCAGTACGGTAAGGGTGCGCGGTACAGTCAAAAGCCATAAGAAGGACGCGCGGTAAGGACGCGAGACCCTTGGAAGCCGAAGCTGGGATTTCTGGGGCGGCGGGCGACGAATACCTCAAGGACGCAAGAGCAAGGAAGCGCGAGGACGCAAGGGCACCCTGAGCAAAGTCGCGCGTCCATATTAGGGCGTTTGAATGTAAGGATACAAGGGCCTTGCGCAGCAGAGTGCCGAAGGGTGCCGAGTACCAGAGGGGCAGGGATGCAAGGGTAGCCTTGGAGAGTTGCCCCATCCTTACTGTCATGGTTGACTGTACACTGAGGTCGGGTGCGTCCCCCTACGGGCGGATTTGGGACGAAAGAAAAGTAGCCCAAAAATGCTCAAAAATCAAGCATGGTCAAAAACCGTCCCCCGACCATTTCTTCACTATTTTTCCCTACCTAGGCTCTGCCTAGAAGGGTTCTTACCCTCTAGCTTAAAGGGGCCGGGCAGTGGATATCGCCCCAGGCGGTTCCCCCAGGATCCGCCCGGCGGTTCCCCCAGTTGCGTCCCCTTAGCTTAGCGTTGCTTATATCATATCAGCTTAGCTTATTCCATAGTAGCTCAGCTTAGCTTCATCTTAGCTCAGGTGTATCTTAGCTTAGCTTACCTACATCTTAGCTTCGCCGAGCTGTAGCAGAGCAGAGCACAGCACAGCATAGCAGAGCGTAGCATAACATAGCGCAGCACAGCATATCATAGCAACGCCCAGCATAGCATAGCATAGCGCAGCATAGCATAGCAAAGCGCAGCACAGCACAGTACATCATAGCACAGCGCAGCATAGCATATCATAGCATAGCATAGCATAGCGCAGCTTAGCTTAGCACATCATAGCTTAACATATCACAGCGCAGCATGACAAATCATAGCTTAGTACAGCGCATCAGGACATAGCATAGCATAGCGCGACATAGCATAGCATAGCATAGCGCAAAATAGCATGGCATAGCATAGCACAGACAAACATAGATTAGCATAGCGCATCATATCACAGCACATCATAGCACAGCCCAGCATATCATAGCACAACAAAACATGTCGCAGCCCAGCTTAACATCGCATAGCATACCTTAGCGCACCTTAGCATAGCATGACATAGCATAGCATAGCTTAGCATGGCACCGCGCAGCATGGTATAGCATAACGTAGCGCAGCATAGCATAGCATAGCATAGCGCATACTAGCATGGCATAGCATAGCATAGCAACTAATGCTGCTTTCCTAGGGGCTCCAACTTCTAGGTAGGGTCGGACTGGGGTAATCCGCCGGCCCCCTTGTGGGGCCACCAGGCTGTAGGCGCGTGATTCGCAGTTTCCTGTAACAGTTGTAGTTTCTAGCTTCCAGTGTTACAGTTCTGCTTCTTGCTGGTTACTGTAACTAGTTGACTTCTTGCTGGTTACTGTAACTAGTTGATTGACCGCGCGAGGGGGGGGGAGGCCCAAACAGGATTTTCCAGCGTCCCCTGGGCGCGTTGTCTGAATTGCTGGGGGGGCTCGAAATCGACACCCCTCACGCAGATCCGCGGGGTCAGGGTCCAAAAACACATGGGATTTGCCACATTTCTGAAATTCGGTGCCACCCCTCACGCAGATCCGCGGGGTCAGGGTCCAAAAACACATGGGATTTGCCACATTTCTGAAATTCGGTGCCACCCCTCACGCAGATCCGCGGGGTCAGGGTCCAAAAACACAAGGGATTTGCCACATTTCTGAAATTCGGTGCCACCCCTCACGCAGATCCGCGGGGTCAGGGTCCAAAAACACATGGGATTTGCCACATTTCTGAAATTCGGTGCCACCCCTCACGCAGATCCGCGGGGTCAGGGTCCAAAAACACATGGGATTTGCCACATTTCTGAAATTCGGTGCCACCCCTCACGCAGATCCGCGGGGTCAGGGTCCAAAAACACAGGGGATTTGCTACATTTCTGAAATTCGGTGCCACCCCTCATGCAGATCCGCGGGGTCAGGGTCCAAAAACACATGAGATTTGCCAACATTTCTGAAATTCAGCGCCACCCCTTACGCAGATCCGCGGGGTCAGGGTCCAAAAACACAGGGGATTTGCAACATTTCTAAAATTCGAACCCATCACGCACATCCATCGCAAGGCGTGGTAACCCAAACTGCGAGAACTCCCTCGGCCCTTTCATCGCAAGGTGTGGTAACCAAGCCCTTAAACCATACACGTCTTACCAATCGCCAGGTGTGGTAACCCCTCTTGTGATCAGTTGGTTTTGCTGATTGCGACTCGGCTTCGCATGAAGTTTCGATACTGCTTCACGACAGCGCCAAGGCCTCATGACTTAGCTCTTCCATGGCCCATTCTCCGAGAGAGGGGGCCGGCGGCAGGGGGCGAAGCCCTTACGGATTAAATGATCCTCATGTAGAGGAACAGGCCCGACTTAAGGCTACACGGAAGGGTGTCAGTGGCCTTTGGTGCGCGGCTCGAGGCTCGGAGGTGAGCAAGGGGGGGACGTGAGAAGGGGGAGGCCGTCTCAGAAGGCGGCGGGGCTTCTCAGAAGGCCTGCGGCCTTCTGAGGGGCCTTCTGCAACTTCGGGGAGGGCTCGGAAAGCTTCTGAGACTGCCGGGGGACTTGCGAGCCCTCTGAGAAGGCTCGCTCCTTCTCACTTGCCCCCCCCGGGCTCGCCGCCGACTTCACGAGGCCCAAGGTGCCGCCAGGATCTCCAAGGAGGCCGCCGCGGCCCCCTTGGAGCACACGTCGGTCGGAAGAAGTAGGTAAAAACATGAAGTAGGAGGGCGGATAAAGTGGATTGGGTCCAGGCCCTCCCAGAGAGTAACAAAACACAACAAAAACATGTTGAGTCTTGAAGTAGGAAGGCGCTTGAAGTAGATTGGGATCTGAGAATCCAGAAATACCTACTTTCGACGACCAGCGTGTACCCCTCACGAGGCCCTCAGGGCGCCCTTAGTCCGAAATGCAGCGGAAAGCTCGGGCCGCCTTGGGCCAGGGACACCTTCAGCAACCTTTGGCGGTGCGCAAAAGGAGGTGGATGGAAGGGGGAGGGCTTCTTCGAAGGAGGCTGCTTCTCAGAAGGCGCCTGCCTTACATCCATAGGTAGGGCCCGTGTCTTCTAAGAAGCAGGGGCGTTTCTAAGAAACCCCCCCCCCTCCCTCCGAGCCCCTCTGCGCGTGGCTGAAACCCCCGACCCAAGGTGGCCAGTTCCCGATGACACTCGGAGCACTCGGAGCTCTCCGTGGGGGACCCTGAGCGAGAGCGGCCATTGGTGGTGCGCGGCTGTCGGTAGCCGCGGGGGAGCCAGGCCCAAGCGCCTGCGGGTTCGTCGGGGAGACTCCCGAGGGCCGACGCTCTCCTGCCTTCGCAGGCTGGGTCACGGGCAGGGGAAGCGAGGGCCCCTCATCTGCGAGTGGCTGAGTGTGTCCGTCCTTCCCCGGCAGAAGAGGCTAGCCCGCTGCGGCCAGGGGACGGACGGAGAGGGGGGGGAGGTGGAGGAGGGGGAGGGGGAGGGGGAGGGGAAGGGGGAGGAGGAGGAGGAGGAGGAGGAGGAGGAGGAGGAGGAGAAGGAGGAAGCAGCGAGCCACGACTGCCACAACCTGACAATATACCAGAAATCCGACCCTGGAACGGGCCGCATCGCCGACGCATCGGTGATGTGGCGCGATCCTCCGACCCCTTATCTAGCCTGGCCCACTATGGTAAACCTGTATCACCCCTCATTAGGGGAACAAGAAGTGACGTAAACATAAAAACTCGGAGGTCCGCGCGGATTTCTCGGATCGGCACTGGACCCCCCTCCCTGGCGAGCGGAGCGCGCCAGGGGCGGCGCCGGAGGCGCCGCCGGGGGGCCCAAGCGCCGATCCGAGAAATCCGCGCGGACCTCCGAGTTTCTACGTTTATGTCACTTTTTGTTCCCCTACTCATCTGCTCCATCTCCCTCCTTCCTCCATACTCTGTGACGCAGCAGCCAAAGAGCAGGCAGCAGCGCTCGCTTTCCGCAGACCATGGGCCACTGGTGACATCGCGACCAGCCCTGGCCCCCTGGGGGAAAGGCTCACTGGTACGTGAGGTCCCCTCTGTTCTCTTCTCTGCGCCCCACATGCTTAACATGACGAGGCTACGATCGTCATCGAAATCTCCCCCTCCCTCCTCCTTCTCCCCCTGCAGCTGATCCTTCCAATCCTCTGGATGCCTTCCTCCTCCCTAGCCCGTCCCTCTGAAGGGGCCATGGGACACACAAATTCGCCGGCCCAACGGGCCAGAGGCGTGCTAAGATCTGCGGTAACTACTTAACAATATTTCTAGTTCGCGTGCGCGGGGCGGCCCCTGGGGGCCCCGGACGAAAAGTACCCCGGCTGACCCCCGGCCGGGTCCCGGGCGATCCCCAGGGGGGAGGCTATTTTTCGCCACCCCTCACTAGGATCGTGGCCTCCGAGGGGGTGGCTGCAATCGACTACCCCCCCTCCCGCCCCAAGGGGCCCCTAAGAGCCCCCCAAGAGGCCCCAGGGGAGCTCAATACGCCACCAAGGAGCCCAAGACGCTCCCAAGAAGCCCCCAAGAGGCCCCACAGACGGCCCCAAGCGGCCCCAAATAGCGCTCCAGCGCGGCGGAAAGAGCGAAGCGATTAAATCAATAGACACAAATAACAGGATCACCCATGTTTGTCAAATATATGTTCTAGGTTGTCGTCTTCCCCCCCACTTCCCATTCCTGGGAGTCGACGACTCACTGTGTCCGAGAGAAGGGCGCGCGGCGCGGCCTGGACAGCTTGCTCTTGGGCGGGCCCCAGCCCGCGAGGCACTCGAGCCACTGCATCGCCCAGTGCGTCTCCCCCAGGCCTCGGCGGCAGCCAGCACGACGAGGGCAAGACAAAGCGAGCGAAGAACGGTATAACATAAACTTTTTCGCTGTCGTGGGCGCCTGTCCCTGGGCGGCTGGGACAGGCGCCCCCGACAGCGAAAAAGTTTATGTTATACCGCTCTTCGCCCGGCAAAAGACGGGGACAGACTCGAACGAGGACGCATCGTGGGCCCTTTCGGAACTGCCAATCCTGAGAGCTTCCAGGTGCACCCTCCAGGCCCGCCGATTTGGGGATGGACAGACCTCCATTTAGTAAAACGTGGTTTAGTGAAAACGACCTCGGGCCCAAACCTGGCGGGCGCAAGCCTGGAAAATGACGGCCGCGGCGCCCTCTCGAGAATCGAAACCGGACAGTTCACTAATCGACGTGTCACTGTTGGGGGTTCTGTCCACCCCCGAAAAAGACGGGGACAGACTCGAACGAGGACGCATCGTGGACCCTTTCGGAACTGCCAATCCTGAGAGCTTCCAGGTGCACCCTCTCGTTTTTTGGCCTCGCAGACTCAAATCTGATCTGAAATCTATCCGTCTTGCCTCCCACGCGTTGGGAGCGTGGACTCGGCTTTGCTAGCCCTCAGCTCTGAGGCTTGGCCCAAACAGCCTACGGAAGAACAGCGAATGATACAACATCTGCCTTATTTCGTATCCTGCCTCTCCGTCCTGAGAGCTTCCAGGTGCACCCTCCAGGCCCGCCGATCTGGCGGGTCCGGAAGATGTGTCGGGCGCCGCGGCCGCTCCAGGGCGCTCCAGAGCACTCCCGAGCGATGTACTCCTGATCCGAGGCCTGCCTGATGGGGATGTACATCCTCCATCTCCTCCTCCTCCTCCTCCTCCTCCTCCTCCTCCTCCCTCCCTCCTCCTCCTCCTCCTCCTCCTCCTCCCTCCTCCTCCTCCTCCTCCTCCTCCTCCTCCTCCTCCCTCCTCCTCCTCCTCCTCCTCCTCCTCCTCCCCGGACTCCTCCCCCTCGTCCAAACATCTTGGGACCTCTGCGTGGAGACGTCCGTAAATCTCTGGAGACCTCCCCCAATGCAGTCAGGCTATCTCCTGACCCCCATGAAGAGGAGGGAGGAAGGGTGAATAGCAACAGCAAGAGGAAGGGACAGGAGGCGTAACGGAAGGGCGCGACGCGGCGCCCAAGAGTGCGATGCCCAACAGAAGAGGCGGAGGAGGATGAGGGGGACTCTGACGCTTCGGGCCCCAGACACCCAGCAGCTCGTCCAAGGAAAAGGAGGGGGAAAAGCGGTGGAACGAGCCATCCCCTGACACGCCCAGGTGTGACTGCAGTGTGGCCGGGCGAAATGCGAAGAGGGGGAGCCCGAGGACGGGAGTCGGAGGAGAGGGTAAACGCGCAACTGGCAGGGGGTATGGGCCAGAGAGCCTCCCGCCCTCTCGCCGCCCCCGCCCTCCCCTCCGCGCCACCCTGACGAAGGGGGTCCGGTCAAAACTGACATCAAGGATGCGCGATGAGGATGCAAAGGACCTTGGAAGGCCGTGCCGAAGCTTTGCGAGCGGGGCTGGCCATCGAACGGGGCTCAGGACGGACCGAGGAGGCGAGGCTGCAAGGGTACCCTTGGGAAGTTGCCCGTCCCTGCTTGCATCACTGGGTTAGACTGTACAATATGTGGGGAAGGGCTCGGGGGGCGAAGCGTCGACTCGGAGTCGGCGATGCATCGCCGACGGATTGGCGATGTGCCCTCGATGGCTCAGCCGCACGTTCGTGCGCGGAGTGGGGCACCAGGGCTCCGATTGACGATGAAGGGGCGCCCCCCTGGATCAGGCCCACCTTTCGGCGGCGAGCGAGGGGGGGACTGGGAAGGAGGAGGCCTTCTCAGAAGGCTCGGAAGTCCTCTGGCTCTCCGAGGAGTTGTCTGAACCTGCGAGCCCAGTGGGGAGGTCAGAAGGAGAAGGCCTTCTCAGAAGGCTCGCAAGTCACCAGGCCTTCTGAGAAGTTTTCCAGGCCTTCCCCGAAGACACAGGCTACCCCGCAGAAAGCGCCAGGGCTGCTAAGAAGTCCCACCGCCTGCGGAGAAGGCCTACATGCCTGCATGCCTGCATGCATACATGCACGACACACATACATACATGCATGCATGCATGCATGCATACATACATATAATCACACATACAAACATACGAGCCTACAACCATAACACAGTACACACGTGCAATCATACATGCACACACACATGCATACATACGTGCATACATACATACGTACATACATACATGCATACAGACATACATGCGAACGTACAGGCACACGGACATACACATATACACACGCATGTATACGTGCATGCAAACATGCAAACATGCATACATACATACATACATACATACATGCATACATACATACACACATACATGCATACATACATATATACATGCATGCATGCGTGCATGCATCATGTGTGCATGCACGCATACACGCATACATGTGTACAACCATGCATACGTACATGCACGTATACATGAATGCATGCATACGTAAACGCACAGTTGCAGACATACCTACTTACAGCCATACATACATACGTACATAGATACATGCATGCATGTATACATGCATACGCCAATATATGCATGTGTACGCGCATCACTTCATACATACATACATCCATCCATGCATACATACATAAGTACACACATGCGAGCAAGCAACCACACAACCATGTATGCATACATGTTTACATGCATACAGGCAGACACACGTACATACGTACGTACATACGTACACACGTACATACGCGCATGCATGCACTTACATGCATACACGCATACATGCCTGCATGCATGTAATGTATATATACATACATATATATATATGTGTGTGCTGTCAAACATACATACATACATGCGCATGCACATAGGCATGCTTGATCAGGACAGACCCCATCGCGAGAGATCAGCTGCCAGAAAGCTGCCTTCCCGGATCTCCTCGCGGCTTCGAGATTCGAAGATCGAGTTCGAGGTTCGAACTTAGATCTTCGAGGACCGAGGGTTTGAATGGCTTCTGGGAGCATCTCGTCGCCATGACTGGATTCGCCTCGAAATCTTGGGCAGAGCGCACTCCATAGAGACCTCCAAGATGGGGCCCGAGTAGAGGGGTCGGAGGATCGTGCTGCATCGCCGATACATCGGTGTTGCCCCGGCGATGCATTGGCAAAGTCGCGGCGGTGCATCGGCGACGTCGGCGTGGAAAATCAGGCTCCACATCTAACCACATCGCCGCTGCAACGGCAGTGCGTCGCGATCCTCCGACCCCGTCTGCTCCGACCCCATCTGGGAGGCCTGGAAGAGCGCACTTGGGAAAGGCCAGCCCGAGAGGAGAAGGAGAAGGAGGGGGAGGAGCAGGAAGACGAGAACGAGCAGGAGGAGGGAAGGCGGAGGAGGAGGGAAGGTGGAGGAGGAGGAGGAGGAGGAGGAGAAGGAGGAGGAGGGAAGGTGGATGAGGAGGAGGAGAGGCCTGCTCGAGCCCAGGCCTCCTCGAGTCGCAACACAAGCAAAAACATGGCGCACGGCTTCTCACTGACTTCGGCCACCCCGAGGCTAGATGCCCTCGCTGGGCCCCAGGACCGTCGACGAGAGCGGCTCGCGACATGAAAAGACAGCCCCAGAGGGGGAGGGGGACAAACAAATAGACACCAATCCCAGGATTCCCAATAGTTCCCATGATTTCTGGATGTCCGTATTCCCCTCCACTTCCCGCATGTCATTTTTCCAAGGAGCCGATGATTATTTATTATTTGCATCTCTGATCTCCCTCCCCCCCACCGGGGGTCCACTCTGCGAAAAAAGGATACATCCTCCGATATGATGCTCTCAATGCACGGCCCCAGAGGTCCCGACCCCTTCCCTGGGGCTTATTTCTCGCAGTCGCATGATCCATTTCTGATTTTCCGAAGGACCCGATGACGGGCCCCAGAGGCCCAGGTCGAGGAACAACCGCCGGGTGAAAAATCGTAGCGTCGGCGCTCTGGGCCCGCGAAATGGAACAAAAACACGGCGTTGAAGTCTGGGCCTGCCATCACAGGCAACCCACTGAAGGGAAAAGGAATCAATTGTGAATATCGCTCTTCTCTGAAGCTGTGCAGATGCCCGCGTGTCGCCTGGTTGGGCGCGTTGACGCCCTGGGTTGCCACTCTGGCTACTGTACACGTCGGTCGGGAGAAGTATGTGAAAACACGAAGTAGGAAGGCGGAGACAGTAAGACGTTTTGGTCCAGGCCCTCCCAGATGATGACAAAACGCAGCAAAGGCAGATCGATTAATTGTAGCAGGAAGGCGCTCGAAGTAGATCTAGATCTGGGAATCCAAACGTACCTGCGTTCAACGACCGGCGCGTAGATTTTACACCCTGAGGGCTAGAAAGCAGCAACTCCCAAGAGTTAGGCATGATCTGTTCGATATCAGCTTGTGGACGTCTTTTAATCCGGCGTTTCGGCATTGGGCGGAAAAGGGGGTGGGGTCTGGCCCTGGACCTCTGCTCAGTGCGACCGTTTGGAACGGTGCGTCCTGTGGGAGAGACTCCACCTGCTCGAAACAGGCGCCCCAAACCGCCAAGATCTGGAGGATGAAGAGGAGGAGAAGGAGGAGGAGAAGGAAGAGGAGGAGGAGAAGGAGGAGGAGGAGGAGGAGGGGGGGGGGGCGAGGGGGGGGTGCGAGGGCCCGCGCCGATCGGCAAAAGAATGAGTAAAAGAACGCTAAACTTCGGCCTCAGACTTTCTGAGCTCGCCCGCCGCCATCCCCATACGCTACGGCACGCCTGTGCGGGAGGAGGGCCGCGGTGCGCAGCGGTGCGCAGAGAGAGGCTGCAGGCACTCCGCACCCTCCCTGCCATGACGAAGTCAAGACGAGGATAACGTCGGGTGAAGATCAATCGTGGGCACAACCTTGGGCGCGAATTGGTAGGGGGCGCTAACTGGGGGGAGAAAAGTTCCCTTTTCGGACCCTAAAAGCTCCCTCTGGGGCCCTGAAGGAAGGACCCATTCAGGGGCCCTCAAGAGCTCCTTTTCTCCAGCCCCCGCTGCCCTCCCGTTTATCGCCCCCCCATTGCGCGTGGCCCAAAAATCGCGAATCTCTGAGATCCGACACCACTGGAATGTGTCTTGGGCGCCACGGCCTTCTCAGAGTGTTCCGGAGCGCTCTGCGAGCGTTGCGGAGAGCTCTGGAACGGATATATCCTCATCCCAGCCCCGTCGAACCTGCGCACCGCTGGTGCAACCAATACCACCTCGCGCGTTTGCCAAGGCCGCGTTAAAGGCGATGTTGCTTAACGGCGATGTTAGGAATCCGACTTTTGTGACGCCGAGCTCGCGCAGAACAGAGTGTAGGAAATCTCGACGCACTGTTTCCTACATTTCGAAGATGCGGATGTATTAAACGAAAACGATACAACGAGATGTAGGAAAACACGAACCGCGCGTTCCGACAAGTGGTTTGGCCACGGACCACGCCTTGCCGTCAACTAACACCCTTTGGAAGCCCGAAATGGGTACTGAAAAAATGGGTACAATGCCCAACAACGAATGCTGTCCCAAACCAACAGCGGCCGCTGTTGGGCAGGCGGCCTTCTGTCTCGAATGGACACAGGCCGCGGCGGCGTGGACAGCGAATCCTGTTCAAAACGAACAAGAACTGCTGCTGGGCAATGTACCCATTCTCTCCGTACCCACTTCGTTCGTGCAGACACCCCGTGAGCGCAGCATCTGCGGGTTTGGCCGGCCCGGGAGGCCCGCGCCCCACAGCTTCTGCGCCCAGCCCTCGAGGCGGTCGCGACCGCGCCCGAGGTGGCCGCGCCCGCTCTTGTAGCCCATGAAGGCCGCGGGCGTGAGCGTGGTGCGGAGCCCCATCACGGCCTGGAGAGGGGAGCGCGATGCTCGGGGGCGGCCGAGAGGGGGGCGTCACGCGTCACACATACAGACACACATGCATACATACATACATACATACATACATACATACATACATACATACATACGCACGTACATACATGCATGCATACATACATACATGCAACCTCGGTACATACATGCATACATGCATATGTATCGCTTGCTCTTTCCGCTCTCGCAATCACTCTCGCTCGCTTGCTGCTGCCATTGTGGTAGAGGCTACAGCCGTTATGAGGATATAGACATCTTCCAGAAACCACGAGGGAGATCAGCTTTGCAGCGGAGCGACAGAACTGCTCTCTAAACACACACACACACAGACACCCAATCACACACACGCACACGCACGCACACGCACACGCACACGCACACGCACACGCACACTCACACGCACACGCACACGCACACGCACGCATACGCAAGCAAACACACACAAGCACACACACACACACACGCACATGGTACGCACGATTCTGCGACGGACAGAGGTGGAGGTGTGCCAACCTGGGACGGCCGAGCGGAATCCCACGAGTCGGATGCGCAGAATGTAGAGCCTCCCGTGCTGGAAACGCAAGGCCAGCCTGTGCACCCACCCTGACCCGGCTGAAGGCTACCAAGAGGCGGAGAAGCAGAGGGAGGAGGAGGAGGAAGAGGAGGATGATGATGATGAGGAAGAGGAGGATGAGAAGCGTGCAATAGATGCGCTCAAGCGCTCGCTCGGCACGCAGGTGATCGCGGACGTCGGTGAGAGCACAGGCAAGTATTTCTACGGAGGACCTGATCGCACGGCGGTGACCAGGAAGCACGGCCAGACCATTTCCAAGTGGACAGAGACGGAGGAAGACTTGTACCACGAGCTGCTGAAAGCCTACAAGACGATCGCGCCAGACTTGAAGGAGATCCTTCAAGATCAAGATCTAAGGCACCGCTGTGGAGGAACGCAGGCTTGACCGCGACAGAAAGGGCCTCTCTCAGCACGGCCATCGACGGCAATTGGTCCAGGGACAAGGCGATCAGCAAGCTCAACAACACCGAGGCGGATCAAGACCTCCTGGCTCGGGACCGCACACACTCGCGAGGACCACCAAAGCATGGACGACACCCTGCGGCGAGGTCAGCACACTCCCAGGACGCGGCCGACGACTACGCCACCGTGAGCGCGGCAGCTCTCGAGGATGCCGTGGACCCCGAGGAAGTCCAGGATAAGGAGGACGTCATGGCGCTGGAGGGGTGCGTGGCCATGTAGGGGAGCCACGCAACTGCAGCTCACAGAACGTGGACGAAGGCCCGCAGGATACTAAATGTAGTGATTTTCGTCGTAACGCTTCTCTCGTCCGTAATGCTGCATTTAGGCTCAACCCGCTATGCCACCAAGGGCACTTCTGGGGTAGGCAGAGTCCCAGAGAGCCACCAAATATACGCCAGAGGCCCAGGCCTAGCGCTCACGACGAAACCATCATCATCATCAATAATCATCATCATCATCATCAACATCAACATCATCATCATCATCATCATCATCATCATCATCATCATCATCATCATCAGCATCAGCATCAGCATCATCATCAGCATCAGGATGCTGAAAGGTGTGCAGAAGGCTCGAGGCATCTATCCTGTGTGGCGTGGAGGCAGCCAAGCGAGTGGGCCACGCGACCCGCCGAGGGTACCAAGAGATGGAGCTGCGCGCGGCGCTCGACTTGCACCACCTCCTGGCGGAACCAAACCGCCGTCATTAGGACCTCCAAGGATTCCCAAGCCGCTGCAGTGCCGCAGATGCCGAGGCCCCCACAAGACGGTAGACTGCCCGCACAATAACAATTATGACCAGCAGATGAGCTCTGCGGGTGTCGTGGTCGAGGGGCTGGACGAATCTACCTCCGTGGCTGGCGGCGCATCCCACTGGGGCGGACCTGACAGACAGGCCGCGTACCTGCAGGAGCAGATCATCCCAGCGGTGAGCTCTGACGGGGTCAAGTACGACGAGGACGTGGAGGGGAAGATTACGCTCACCTGCGCGAAAAACACTAAGGGGAAGAGTATGTCCTCATCCCCAGGCACGAGCGTTCAGCTTGGGTGCCTGTTGTTCGCTATGGTACCGACTTCCAGCCCGACGCTCCTGGGCCTGGACTACCTGAAGGCTGCCAAAGCGGACGTGACACTTGACGGCTGCTGGGTGGACCGCGACGGCCACCATGAGGCGCCGACGGCTTTCCCGAGTGGCCACTGGGGCCAGCCCCTCATTTAGGGACAGCGACGGCGCGAACTGCTGGTGGATGCTCCCGACCGTGCCCAACCCTTGGCGGAACATGCCCCGGGCTGCCACCATCTCTCTCTCTCTCTCTCTTTCTCTCTCTCTCTCTCTCTCTCTCTCTACATATATACATATACCTCTGATCAAGTACCTGGTCTTGGGCCTCTAGTGGACTCCACTGGACAGAACCAAGAAATAGATGCGAACATGATTCAAACTATTGCTGCGAACTGCTCTACGACCCCCCGACGACATACGAAACCACAACGCAAACTCTAGACGTTCCTATCCCGACAGGCCGTGTAGGAACCGGGTAGCTAGAGGCGACAACAAAGACCACTACGAGGCTCAGGAGTTAATGTAAGGGAACGTCTGCAAGGACTTCGGCAAGGCTCCGGAGTTCACAAGGGACCTCCACACTGACTTCGACAAGACCAAGAGGCTCGAAGGGAACTCCAACGAGGCTCAGTGGCACTACGAAGACACTAGCAAGCGGGCAACGTTCCAGGATGCGGTGCCCGGATACTGCTTGGGCTCAAGCTGCGAGCTGCGCTTCCGAAGTAGCCAGCCCCCTAACAGCCATTCCATATGCTGGACGTCTGCGGACGACGCCCATGCCTTCACAATGCGAACCCGGTCCGAGATGGATCGTCATCGAGTCGGGCGACGAGGGGGACTGCTCCTCCTCGCAGCCGCAACCTGCGGCTCCCTCCGCAGCGCCAGCTACGTCTGCCTCGCCCGCGCTCGAGACGATTGGAACGGCAAAGCATCTCTACGAGGGCGCGCACAAGCAGAGCATGGAGCTGTTCCTCAACATGAGCCCCGCGACCACCGAGGAGAAGCGCAGGGCAGCAACAGAGGAGTTGGAAGCTAGGCGTGGAAGGCCGAAGCGGCCCGCCTCCACGACGAGGGGGTCAATTTCTCTCAGCTATATCCAGACCGGGAGATCACGATCGCGCTCAAAACGGCGGTCGAGGTACACCAGCAGCGAACCGCCCAGGGCCAGAAGGATCCCATCCAACTGCGGTCCGAGATACGCGAGCTCCCGACCGTGTCCAACGAAAGGGCAGAGGATCAGGAAGCTCTACCAAGTCAATCAATCCCAAGGGAAAGGCGTCGGTCAAGACCTTCGAGTGCCCAGCCATAGAAAATAAGAAGGCGGCCGAGGCCCCCACGGAGCGCACCTACGCGACCGCCGACCCCCACAACGCGGTTGAGACGCCCTACCGCTGGCAGCTCATGATCAAAGACATCCAGGATCGCACAGCGTGGAGTCTCCAGGCCAACGCCAAGAATCACGCCAACCACATGCCGAAGGACCTGGACGGACACGCAACAAAATCCTGGGAACACCTGGGCCGCTGCAGCTACCGCGAGATCAGATGCGCCCAGTGAGCCAAGACATCGGAAACCTCCATCAGACCCTCTGCACCAGCTTCGCGATCATACACGAACTGGGAACTGTGGGCGCGCCCTCGATCGGCGTGCAGGACAACTACGGCATCATGGAGGAAGAGCTCAACAACGAGGGGGGGGGGGGGGGGGGGGGGGGGGGGGGGGCAATCTACAAGGGGCGCCTGACCACTGGGCTCGATCTGACCACTCAGGCCGGAAACCAGCTGGCCACCAAACACCTAATAGAGCTCAACCCTCTGCGCGCGTTCCTGGCTTTTCCCGTTGCAGCGCCTCCTACCGCGCTCCTCTGTTTCTCGCAACAAGCTGATCCTGCACTACATGGCCCAGACCGGCGAGACTCGAGACCGCCGTGCGCCAAGGATCCGAAGTCTCGGCACTTTTCCCACTACACGGAATGGCTGGCCCAATAAGTACCCATCCAACGTCTGCGGAAAAAATGACACACTGCCACCGCCAAGGTGGGAGACCCGCCGGGCTCGACCCGTTGCTTCGGACAAACTGGCGGAGCCTCTGGGCGTGCTACAACTCGATGGTTTCGACTGGATGCGCCCCGTGACCACCGCGCGTGTACGTGGCTCTCTCATAGTTGACGAGAGTGGTGGCAAGACCGCGGCCGAGATCCACCGCGCGGACCCAGCTGATGCTGGCGCTGGCAACGCGACCTCTGACGAGACCTCGAGGCTCATCGTGGGCGGATGCTGCTAGCACTGGGGGTAACTGTTACGAACCCGCTACGACCCCGAGGGCAACTATCGCTCTCGTGAACGGGAACACACCGCTGACGCAGGCATCATCTGGGGCCCCGACCCTGCCGGCGCGCACTGGAAGACGGGGCGAATGCTAGCTGCGATCGGCATTATCAAAGAGGCAGCTGACCGCTGACATACCTCGGTCCTACCTGTCCGCTGAAGCTCTTGCATTGGGCCACTGCCGCTCACAACGGGTGCCCAACAGCTCTGGGGCCAGTCCTGGCACCATTGACTCGGGGCGTGCACTGCGACGTCTGGATAGCGAGCTGCAGCGTACAGCGCGCCAACTCGAGGCGGAGCATGCAGGCCAAGCAGTCCTGTCCCAGCGGCGCGGGCCTCGGGGTGTCCTCGGCGCTTCCCAGCTCGAAAGTTCCCCCCCCCCCCCCCCCCCGTTAGCAACCATATGCGCCCCATGGCCCCCGTGCGTCTTGCCCACTGCGCGCCCAGCTACCTCCGACACTTTGTCAGAGGAGGCCACCGCGCAGACTTCGCGTTGAGCGAGCGGCAGACCTAGGTCAACCATTATATGGTGGCCCACGCCGTCGAATCTCTGGACTAGGCTGACGGCGCTTGCGACGCTGTCCGCCCCCCGCACGCGGCGGGCAAGGTCGTCGACGCGGAGGGGGGGGGAGGGCCTCGGGAGGGAGGGGGGCCATAGTAGTTATCCACGGTGGTTGCCCACGCAAGCGAAGCTTCGAATGTCGCAGGGGTAGACCCTGCAACAGTTCCTCTTCGCGGGTGCGGCCCTGCCAGCAAAGCGCCATCATATCGGAGAAATCGCCGCCCTGTATAACTGTTCACACTTACCTGGGGGCAGTTACAACGTCCAGCATTCTTCGGCAGCAATGAGTTGGGCACATGCTCGTATACTTCAGTCAGATCCCACATCGCCGCAATATAATGCATTTTGCGGTCATTGGCGCCTTCGCCAAGGACAGCCCGTCTTCAAACCGCGTCTGTCGGACAGCGGCGTTGGGCGCGTGATCGCTCGAGAGGCAATGGCCATTCAGGTCTCCGTCCTCCAGGCGGCTCACGGGCGCGCAAAACCGCAAGTCGCTGACGCTTGTCTGGGGCGCAGCCAATTAAATCGATTAAATGGAACAACTTGGCGCGCGCACTGAGCGACTGATCCGACAAGAGGCTTCGGCGTTTGGGATGCCGCCCTTCTGGCGCGCAGGCGCTCTTATCGCGCCTCTTTCTTATCGAGCGCCGAACGCCTGGCGCGGCGGCATCGCGCGCCGGCGCAGGCAATGGCCACAGTTCGGACTGCCCCGGGGTCTCCTCGGCCTGCCACGCTTTAGCCCGCTGCGGCGAGCGCGGCGCGCCCGCGCGCGGCCCCGGGCGGGGCCTCCCCGACGACGGCAATGATAAGCGCGGACTGGCCACTCAGGGAGCTGCGGGTTCTACGCGCACCCTTCGTCAGCATGCCACTCCGCCCATGCTTGGCAACGGATCTGGGGTGCTGGGCAGGAGAGACGGTCGCGCATAAACTGGGCGAGCGCTATGAATTCGCATAGGACCCTTCCCGCGTGTTCGCTCGGATGTTGGATATAGGCCCTACGAGAAACATAATGGCACGCGACATGCTGCCTCCTCTGGGCCAAACCTGGCGAGAAAGGGCCCCCGCAGACCATGCGCCCGATCAGACGGACCGAAAGATTGGTGAGGTCAGAATGGCTCCCGACTTCAAAACTTTGCAAGACGGCTCCCACTTGGGCCACTTGCTGGATCGCCCGTGTCAGAGCTCGCTGGGGGCCCACTCGTTCGCATGCTTTCGCGCGCAATACCTCGCGCAGCAGGGTCGTCTGCCACTGGAGATCCGCGCCTCCAGGAAGCCCAGGCCCGAACTGGACCGTCACCTCCTGCAGCTCCGCCAGCGCTACGTCGTTCCACTGGTTGTAAATGTCGCTCAAGATCTGAAGCGCACCCAGTCGACACTGGCCGAGCTCTGCGAACATTGCGCTGGCGCGTCCGATCGGGCGCAAGAAATTGTCGAGCAACACCTCGATCGAATCATGTTTCGGAGGTTCGCGCGCGGGCCCTGTGACGCGAACTGGCGGACAATCCTGGCAGTTCCCTAGGATTTGAGCCGTCTGGCCTGGGGCCCCTGTCGATTTGAGCCAAACGGGGCAATGAGGAACAACAAGCGCATCATACAGTACTTCCGGAGTTGTTACCAAACCAAACAGATTGTCGGTGATGGAATCGTCAGTTGCATGCATATGTTCACCATGCACTTCGGATGGATTGAATGGGTCTGCTCGGGCTACACCTCGCAGTCTATGCAGCGTGAAGGCGGCGTTCAGTCTCTCAGGTGAATTACAAAAATCTCTGGCACACACATGAGGGAATTGTGCATCCAGGATCTCCTGGCCAACCCGCTCCATGATCTTGACATTTCGCGGCGCGAATCCTTCTACCACGTACAAGTAACAAGTCGGGATCATCCGGTGACCAAGGTCCTTCAACCTCAAGAAACACCTTGCCAACCTGCCACGATGCAGGTTGCCTCCATCTACTGCCCATGAGTCCCATAAGTGCTTCACAATAATCAACGCACCAGCAGTAGCACGATCCATGCGCTCGCCGCCCAGCCCGGTGGAGTGGCGAAACAACATGATGACATATTCGTGCCTACAATCTGCGCTCTTGCGCCAAGATAATATCGGCATGGCTGAGGGAATCCAGGATTGGCTCACCCTTGGTACTACCCGAGCCATTTAAAGTTACCACAGTTAACCCTTGCATCTTCTACGGGCGCGGATTCGCAGGAGGCTTCGGCGCACCCCTTGGGGAAAACAACGGCTGCAAGATGAAAGGCGTTCGCCTCCTCGGGTGGGAGCAGGTACTCTGGCAGGTAGTGGTTGTCGTAGGAGCAGAAGACCTCGCCCCTGGGCGGCCCCAGGCCATGCGAGGCAATGAAGCGGGGGCCCAAGCCACTGGTCCTCGCAAGCCCAGGTGAGGGCTCGAGCAAGCCAGTGACTGGCGCCGCCCGCTTCGCCGTCTCCACTATCTCAGGGCCAGGGTAGGACGGCGCAGTCGACAAAGTGATTGGCGTTCTAGGGCTACCCGCACGTGGTGTTCTCAAACGGGCTCGTAGCTGTCGGTGCGCTATTTGCCACCACTTTGCCTGCAATGGCATTGGCTTTCTCGCGAGGCTAAGTTTTCTTGTCATATTTGGGTTGTGCGGTGGCAGCGGCTGCGGTGGACGATTCTCCTGAGTCCACGTCCACCGCCTCTCCAAACAAGTATGCGGTAGCCGCGTGCAGCTCCTCTCCAACTGTTTGGTTGTATTGGCAGTTTCTTCCTTGTCTTCAGGAGCGAAGTCCACAAACTCATTGAGACCGAACATGTCGTCGCCATCCAAATGCACCTCAAACTGTCCATCCAAGATGGCGGTCAAACTGACTTTGCTGGCGTCTACAGGTGATTTGCTCGGGACAGGACTTCCACAATTTGCTGAGCTTGCTGGTCAAGGTGCTCTTTCGTTTTGTCGCGTTGATCAACCAACTTCTGGAGTTTCGCCCTACAAAAGGCTTAAGCACACAGTTGGCCTGATTCGCTCTCTGTTCTGCCGGCTGTTCGGGGGCAGCTGGCCCTCCTGAACTTTTGGCACGGTATATGTCTGCTGTATGATTGTCACCCACCTTTTCACAGAGCGTGACCAGCCGAAAAAGTCAAGCATTCGAAAGCGTAACGTTTCTGTCTCGGAACGGTGACATCTGGGCCTGTTCGGAAAATCTTGCGTTTGAGCCTCTGGACCGTTTTCAGGCAACGCTGGCGCGTAAGACTGAATTTGTCCCGCATTTGTCCAGCTCTTACCACACTGCTTACACCACGTCCAGGACCCTACGTTTTTCGCACAGCCGCAGGACACAGAACGCCAAGCCCCGCGAGGCTTGTGAACACCAGGAAAAGGCGCCATGGGTTGACCAAGCGTGATCTTGGTGCGGTCGCCTTCAGGAATTCTCCAGCAGGAACTCACAAAAACTGAAATCTCATCTGACTTGGCAAAACGAGAGACATTTCGGGGGCCGTCTCTCCCCCTTGCCAAAAAAAGTCAGGTACTGAGCCGAATCGCCACGGACTTGAGCCAAAATGGATACGGTCCTCCTCCTCCTCCTCCTCACCCTCCTCCTCCTTCTCTTCCTCGCTCTCAGAGCGTTCCGGAGCGCTCTGAGCGGGCCGCGGCGCACGAGACATCCTCCAGAGGCGCTGGGATCGCTGAGATTCTCGATTTACGCACGTCCGATGTTATCCTCGTCCTGGCTCCGTCTTAAGACCCCTTCCTTTCCTGGCGAATCTTGGTGAACGTGGCACGCCAGCCTCGCCGGGAGCTGATCCTCGCGCGCCAGCCCCCAAGGCCCTCGACCAGGCCCCTTGTGGAGGCGTGGTGGCGTGGTCTTCCGCGTCTCCGTGTTGATGATGATGCTGACGCTGACGCTGATGCTGATGCTGATGCTGATGCTGATGCTGATGATGATGATGATGATGATGACGATGGTGGTGCTGCTGCTGCTGATGGTAACGATGGTGATGATTATGATGATGATGATGATGATGATGATGATGATGATGATGATGATGATGATGATGATGATGCTGATCATGATGATGTGATGATGTTGATAATGAAGGGGAGGAGGGAGAGGAGGAGGAGGAGGCCGAAACAGATTACTCTGGTTGACGCATCACGACGGCCTTCCGCTCCTCCTGCAGCACGAGGGCCGCCACCTGTCGCCAGGGGCTTGACGACCTCTGCTGCCTCTCGACCCGCGCGGGATCTTCCATGTGACGCACAACGACATACTAGTACTATATGTCCTCCTTGGAGGCGCGTGTCCGACCCGAACATATATTATACCCATCTTGAAGTATATAGTTTCACGATCGGCGTGGCCAGAAAGCGCCCACCACGACGCATACAATATAATATTTCTCGGTGCACGCGTCGCCCCAGGGAAGGCGACGCACACATAGTATTAGTATGTTGGGGTGACGCCGATTCCACCCTATGTCCAAGCGTCCGCGGGCATTGAGGGGGCGAAGAGCAGTATGGTATACACGTTTCCGCCGTCGGGGAAGCCTGCTCACCGGGCGGCTGGAAACTTTACTTGTACTCCTGCGTGGCACCGCGGGGGTAGAAACTTTCTGGGGCAGGCGCCCCCGACGGCGGAAACGTTCATCGTATACCGCTCCTCGCCGGCTACAATTTATCCCGATTCTCGGGTTTGGCATTTGGGCTGCGTCGATGCGTCTTGCTTTCGGTCGGGCCTGTCCCCCTGCACGAGGATGTTGGGCGGAATCGTCCCAGCCAATGTTTTGGCCTACTGTTTGGATGCCCCTCCTGCAGAGGGACTGGCCCGACTTCAGTCTTGCGTGATCCCTCGGGAGCGGCCAAGAGGGGGGTGTCCAAGAGGGGGGGGTGCAAATCATGACCGGCGGCATGTGCGCGGCCCAGCGGGGGGGCCTTGGACGTAATGAAATAAGAAGAGGCGCCATGAAATCTGGGGAAATATCATGGCCCCCGCCATGATATCCACCCCCCCCCTAGTCATCACCCCCCTCTTTTCCGCCCCCGACTTCAATCTTGCGCGATCCCGGCAGGTCGCTCGGAAGGAGTCGCCAGGCCCCCGGGGAGGACCTGCGCCGACGGCCGCGACCCGCACGCCCGGCACTGCGACAGGCCCTCCGCGGCGGCGGGCCTGAGGGAGAGCAGTGGCCCGTCGGTCGACAGAAGCAGGTAAAGACATCAATGAAGGGACTTCCACCACGGCCAGGACCCAACCACCACTCCGACTTCAGCATGCGATCCACGACGAATTCGCGTCGGCCAAGCCGTCCGCGAACCCAGAGGTGCCCGACGCCCGCGCGCCCAGCACGACACCCACGACGGCCAGGACCACACGCCCAGACCCACGGTGGGACACATGAGTAAACACACACACACAAATAAAAGGATTCCCAATATGTTCTCATATGTTCTGGGTTTCCGTCTTCCCCCCAAGTTCCCATGTCTTCGCGTATATTTTCCTGGGGATCGACGAGGCATTGTGTCTGTGAGTTGCTCCCCTCCTGAATCAAAGAGGAAATTGAGCAGGGACCGACCGTCCCGGCATTCCTACAGGCCCACCACGAAATGTTCTTGGAACCCCAAAACTGTTCTAAGATCAGAAACAGTGTTCTCAGAGCAGATTCCCGACGTGTTAAAACAAGACAGTCTCAGCCAGAAAGGTTCTAAGAACATTTCGTGGAAACCTTCAAATACTCTCAGAACATTGTTTGGTAGGGCGATAGGCACGCCAGGACGCTTCGCCACTGCTTGAGCAAGGCAAATGAAGTAGAGTGGGCTCAGGCAGAGTAACAAAGCACAGCAAAAACATACAGACACTTGACATAGGAAGGCGCTTGAAGTAGATTGGGATCTAGGGATCCACATATGTCTGCTTCCAACGACCGGCGTGTAGAGTGGGGGGCCCGGCTCGGGGGGGAACATCGACCTGGAGTCGGCGATGCACCACCGATGCGTCGACAGCCGAACCGCACCTCGCTGGGCTGGATGGGGGCGAGGCCTCACCCCGACAGGCGACGAGCGGGCTCTTTGGGGGTCGATGCTCCCCCCCTGTGGGGGCCGTCCCCCCCTGCAGCTGTCCCTGAGAGCCGCGTCGCGGCGCCGTCGTCTCCCGCCGGCGCGTCCTCCGGGGCCGCCCGGCAGGCCATCACCTGAGCGACGAGGCGCAGCTTGCCATCGCTCGGACGTCCATTCCACGTTCACGTTTCGATGTCGTGCCGCTTTTGTTTGTTGCTCGATGATCGAAAATATCTCCGATGGTCCTCGCCGAGAAAAATGCACACGTCCGAGCGGTGCCAAGCCAGTGGGGGGGGGAGGACCCCTGCGCCAGAGGACGCGGCGACCTCGCGCGGAGGCTGGATGACGGATTACGTCGGAGAGGGGCCAAACGGGACGGCGGTGGCCGCTTCCCTGCCGCCGTGGGTCCTCGGGGCGCCTCCTGGAGGCTTTTCTGGCCGCCGCGGCTGGATCCAACGGAACAGCTGGTGCAAGACGGGCCCCAGGAGCAGGGCTGAACCTAAACGGTACTTTTCGTCTTCGTTCTGTTTTCGTTTTCCCTCGCTTTTGCTTCGAATCCGCCTCTACCGCAAAACGACGTCGCAACGAAAACAGCCAACGAAATCGCCGCAAACACCGTTCTTGAGGAGGGACCGACCGTCCCGGCATTCCTATAGTCCTACCACGACATGTTCTTAGAACCCACAGTTCTAAGAACAAGAACCATATTATTAGAATCTTAAACCGATGTGTTAAAACAAGATAATATCAACCAGAAATGTTCTAAGAACATTCCGCGGAAACCGCAAAAGGCTCTTAGAACATTGTTCGGTAGGGCTATCGGCGAGCCAGGACGCTCCGCCACTGCTTGACGTGTAGGTCCAGCCCTGCCCAGGAGGGTTGCGCCTGGGGGCGGGCTCGTGGCGGATGCGGCCGGGCGGGCGAGCAGCCGCCGTGGTCCCAGCTGTCCTCCTCGGACTGCGCAGGCGGCTCATTACCAGCCTCGAACTTACCCCTATCCCTAAGATCGACACGCCAAAAAGCGATGACCATCTTGGGGATGCGCCCATGAAAAATAAGGGAACCCCCTAAGATTGGCATCGCGACGAGGAGATGCCCCGCACAGGGATGGGGATCTGCTCCAGGCTGGCAAGCTCACACGGCACGCCCGGCGGAGACGCGGCACGCACGCGCGGCTTTGCCCAGGCGCCCGACGCCGAGATTAACTACTTAGCCTCGAACTTATCCCTATCCCTAAGATGGGCGAGCAAAAAGCGAGGACGATCTTAGGGATAGGCCCTCCGAAACTGAGGGAATCCTTAAGATCGGCATCGATGTGAGGTAATGTCAAACATAGGGATAGGGATATGTTTCAAACTGGACAAAAATTCCTTCACAACGAGGACCCCCAATCGGAAACTGGGCGAAGGCTGCTAAAACCGTGGCTGCCAAAACGGCCCTCCCGGAAGGAACACAAAAAAACAGCTCCCCGGAACGAGGCGCGGCACGCGAAACGGTCCACGGGCTTCTTCCAAGGGAGGACGAGGGCAGCTTCCCGGAGGTCGATTTTGGCAGCCACGGAGTTGGCAGCCCCTGCCCCGCTTCTGACAGACGCCCGACGCCGAGATTCCTTCACAACGACGGCACCCAGGGGTCCAGCCCCCCTCCCTGGGACTGGCGCTTCAGCCAGATCGTACTTTGACGGCCTTGGGGCTCGGCGAGGGTGCACAGGAGGCCCAAAGTGGCCAGACTCGAGAAGACATGGGTACAAGCCCGCGCCCGAATGCCGCGCGACCCCCCCGCGGCCTTTTCCGGGCGCGCCGAGAGAAGGGGTGCACATCATGACCCGAGACATGTGCGCGGACGAGTGGGGCCAAGGGGATGCGCTGAAAGAAAGCGATGGGGCCATGAGACCTGGGGAGTCTGGTGGCCCTGGCCACGGCATCCCCGCCCACTGGCCCTCCCCCCCCTCCCCCCTCGGACGCCCCCGATTTGTGCAAGCCTCTCACGCGGCCCTCGGCGCACTCCGGGCACTGGAAGCAGCGCGCCGGATCGGTCTCCAGCGATTCCACGCACCGCGGGCAGCTGCAGGTGAAGCCCCAGTCGGTTTGGAGCTTCCTCCTCCGCTTGCCCACTGGCATCAGCAATGACGGCATGAGCGGTACCGACCCGCCTCCGCCGCCCATGTCGTCGGCGTAGTTGATGTACAGTTCCTCCCCTTCCTGCACGGCAGTGGCTGCAACCCACACTATGTTTCCAGCATACTTCCCGTCCGGCTTCTCCTCGAGCGTGTCGAAGAGGTAAACATTCGGCTCGCAGGAGTGGTTCACTCGCGAGGTGAACGGGCCGATCGTCAAGATCTGGCCCTGGTCGGCAGCCCAAACCGTGGAATTCGCTTCCACGACTCGGAGAAAGTGCCACACCTCGTCGCGGTGGGTGTCGACCTCCTCTTGGCTAAGCGCAGGAAGTGGCATATGGCGAGGGAGGTGAAGTGCGAAGGAGAAGGAACAAAAAGAGGAGAGGAAGAGATGACACAAGACAAGTGCCGATGCCGCGTCCGCGTTCGGAGCGCGAATGCGCGCGCCACCAAGGCGACGGAGCGAGAAGTGGGACGGGTAGAAGGAGGGAGGGAGGATCCGCTTGAGAGACGAAAAGAAATGGCACTTACGCGAGAGGAAAAAACGCCCTCACGCGGTTGCTCACGTAGGCCGCCAGCGTGGCACACCGCGTGGAGAGAAGAGCGCTTGCGCGCCGCCTCACGGACTCTCGGCCACCTGCCCAGTGAAATGGCACTCGTGGGGGCGCTGACATGGGCCGCCTGGTGTGGTCGCATGGGTAAGCGTTTGTGCTTATTGCACAACCTTCGGGGAGACGTAAGACTCGGGTACGGGGGACGCGGGTTGGCCTGACGGGGCCGATTATAAAAATGACGAGACGCCATCTGAAAGTTGACGCGAACTCCCACTGCAAACATCCCACGACACCTGGACCGTCAACAGCCAGGACGCGCTCGTCAAAAAACGTCGGCAAACCCGAGTTCCAGCTTACCCGAGTCTTACGCTCCCCCGAAACCTGGAGTCTGGAATTTAGGCGCGTGTGGGCCCGACTAGGGCCCAACGCATTCCAGGACAGCTCTCTGAGAGCTCAGAGGGCTTGAGATCCGAAGCCGGCACCGCAGGGTGGCCCTGGAGCCCCCTCCGACGACGCTACACCCCGCAGGAGCTCCCGCGAAGTGGCAGCGTGCTCTGGCAGGCCTCTCTGAGCTGCTTCCCAGTGCGTGTGCCGCCCAGCTCTCCAGAAGCTCCCTCCCAGAGCTTCCTGGGCCTGAGACGCCCGAAATGGGTACAGTCAAAAACCCTGATAAGGGCACGCGGTAAGGACGCAAGACCCTTGGAAGCCGAAGTTGGGATTTCCGGGGCGGCGGACGACGAAAACCCCAAGGACGCAAGAGCAAGGAAGAGCAAGGACGCAAGGGTACCCTGAGCAAAGCCGCGCGTCCTTATTAGGGTTTTTGACTGTACGACGAAATGGGTGCGACGCCCGACAACAAATGCTGCCCAAAACCGACAGCGGCCGCTGTTGGGTAGGCGGCGTCTGTCTCAAATGGGCAACGACCGCGGCGACGCCGACAACGAACCGTGTTCAGAATGAGCAAGAACTGCTGTTGCACTTTGTACCCATAATTTCCGTACCCATGTCGATCGTCTCGGACGGCTCTGTCGAGGGACCTTCGAGAAGCTTCTGTCGCCTCGCTGTCCAGGTGTTGGACACTACAGTCAGCTTGGAAAACATGATCAATTCAAACATCAAAAAGAGAGACCGAGACATCGTCCCCAGACTGTTCTTTCTATTCTTGAACAGCCTTCCTGTAGAAGGGCATGGCAGACTGTAGCACTGCAACTCCGCTCGCAGGGGCGGCGGAGCGGGCGCTTTTTGCGCCGGAGCCGCCGCCGGCGAATGGCGGCGGACGTCGTCGTCGTCGTCGTTGTCGTCGTCGTCGTCGTCGCCGTCATCGTCGTCGCCGTCGCGTCATCGTCATCGTCGTCGCGTCATCGTCGTCATCGTCATCGTCGTCGCGTCATCATCGTCATCGTCATCGTCATCGCGTCGTCATCGTCGTCGTCATCGTGATGCCTTCAGGCCTTTCCACCAAAACGGCGGCGCCTCCGCCGGCGAAGGGCAGCGGACGTAATCAAAAAACGGGGTGTCAAACTCGTGGCTCCGGGGCTTTTGGATTGCACTGGAGATGGATCGATCCGGGGCTTTTGAATTGCACTGGAGATGAATTGCACTGGAGATGAATCTAAACATACACTTTCGGAGCGCCGCGCGGATTTCTTGGGTCGGCAGCGCGGCCAAGGGGGTCCATCACCGAGCCAAGAAATGCGCAAGGACCTCTGCAATTCGAGGATGTGTGTGTTTCATCATTTCTTCGAGGACGCGGCCTCGGAATGCGCGCCACGCATGTACTCCTCGCGCCACCCGTCGCAGCCTTCTCGCGGCAAGAACAACTTTGGACTTCGGGGCATGCTGAGGCCTCCAGCGGCTATTCGGGACGATCAAGGCGTCCACGGAACGCTCTCGGATAGATGCAGCTGACGGAAAGCATCCCCGAGGCTGGAGCTGGAAGACCGCCTAGAACAACCGAAAGCGTCTGTGGGGAGACATCCAAACAACAACTGCTCGGCGTGATTTGCTTCGCGCGCCGGTCCTCCTCGCGCCCGTGCGTCCTGGCCTGCAGTGACGTAAACTGATTGTTGCTTGGTCCCCATCCACGCCCTCGCGGTCTGGATTACGGTGCGCGATCCCGTACATGGTCGCATGGCCACGTTCCGCGCTGGACTCCCGCGAACAAACACCCCGTATCCATGAGGGCGCGGCCTCAGGGCCAGGCCCGCGAGGCCGTGTGCATGGATAGATGCCTCCCGCCAACGAGGACAAATTGGAGCGATGAGGAGGAACTGGCTCGGACGTCGACCTGGAATCGGCGATAACTCGCCGGTAGGTCGGCGATTGGCCACCGAGATAACATCCGCACCTTCCTGGGTGGGGGGCTATCGGGCCCCTTTCGGCGATGAACGGGCGATTGGGAGTCGATGCGGCCCCACTGACCCTGTGTATCCCGCCCTGACGCTGCGCGAGACGAAAGCGAGGGGCCCTCCTCGCGCTACCCCAGCTGGTCCGCGCGGGACATCCGCGACAGAACACCCCGCACCCATGGGGTCGCGGCCTCGGGGGCAAGCCCGCGGGGCCGTGGATGGTTTTCCGCACCAGCGACAACGCAACCCTCCTACTCAAGAGCGAGGTCCCTAAGCTTGCTCCATGAAGCGTGCAGCCAACGACGTGTGCAACCGCGAGGCCTCGGATGTGGATACAGTCCAGGTACTACCAGAAGGAACGCCAAATAAGGAGCAAAGGGGCTTTTCTGGCCACGGTGGCCCTGGGCCACAAGCAAATCCATCGACACAACTCTAAGGAACGACGCAACTCCCCGAGCCCCTTCCGAACCCGCCAGCGGTCCTTCTTTCGGCGTCTTGGCTGTAAGTATTAGGGGGCAAACAAACCTGACCACCCTCGCTTCCAAGAGATACCAAACGATACCAAACTACGGCTTGTACTGGTCAGGCCGCTTGACGAGGAGGCGCGTGGTATGACTTGGTTTTGCCTGGAAGCGAAAGCGGGGTAGGTAATTCACGATCTGAAGTATGGCTCCCGCCCGCGGGAGCGGGTGGTCCTCCTCGCGCCACCCCAGCTCGTCGATCAGCAGCTCCTCTAGCCGCTCCCCCCGCGCGCCCACGAGCGCCGCCATGGGCGCACCGCGGCGCCCGGTCTGCCCCTCGGGTGGGCAGCCCAGGCCGAGCACCAGCGCCTTCTGCCGGGAGCCCAGGCCCAGGAAGGTCCGGATGAGCGCGTTCAGGTCCCCCTGCCAGGTTCCTCCTCCTCCTCCTCCTCCCTCCTCCTCCTCCCACTCCCGCTCCTCCTCCTCCTCCTCCTCCTCCTCCTCCTCCTCCCTCCTCCTTCCTCCCTCCTCTCCTCCTCCTCCTCCTCCCTCCTCCTCCTTCTCCTCCTCCTCCTCCTCCTCCTCCCACTCCTGGGTTCGCAATCACCGCCCGAGGCACGTGCGCGGCCCTGGGGCGGGGCAGGGGACGCGTTGAAAAAAGAAAACTGGGGCATGAAATCCAGGGGGGCATCATGGCCCCAGCCATGGCATCGCCCCCCCCCCCTTTGTCATCCGACGAAAAAAAAACGAACAACAAAAAACGGCATGGACAACATGTTGTGGCACTCCGCGCGGGTTTCTTGGATCCGCGCCGGACACCCCTCCCTGGCGCGCCCGGGGCGGCGCCAGAGGCGCCGCCAGGGAGGCCCAGCGCGGATCCAAGAAATCCGAGCGGAGCGCCACAAATTCATGTTTATGGCGTTTTCTCCTTCGGTCATCACCTCCCCTAACTGGTTGGGTCGGACAAACAACAGGGGACAACAGAAGGGGGAGGCTGGCGGACCCATTCACGCAGCGGGTCTCCCCGAGCGCCCCCAAGCGCCGGGGGAGGCGCCAAGTGGCGGACCCGACACCGGCTGCACGCAGCAGTTGTCGCACCCCCCGTTGTCTGTTGAAATCAGGAATCTTGAATACTGCGGGTTTCCTAACAAGCGTGGGGGGGGTACCCCACCGACGCGGGTCAACCTCGCCTCGTCGTCGCGCCGCGACGGGGGGCGGAGCGCCTTCAGCGCGCGGTGGCTGCCCGCGACGGGGGTCGATGTGGGGCTGCCGGCGGGAGTGACGCCCCCACGACGCTTATCAAGAAACTCGGAAGCGAGCCTTTTTTGTCGAAGTCGTGCCATAACATCCGAAGAAATGGCCGGACCCCTGTCTGCCAGCGTTCCTTCACGATCGCCAGAACGAATCCGCGTGCGCCAGAACGCTGGGAACACCGAAAGGGCCCACCGTCAAAAACAGGAACGGTACGCACGCAAACCTGCAGAACCACCGAGCCCCTTTCCAACCTCGACCTGGGCCTTGTTTCGACGAGCTGACCGCCTGCCCACCCCTGGCGCCTGGCTGCTGCTGCCCGCCCGGCTGCTCCTCGTCGGCTTCTTCGGCGTCTGAGCGCCCCTCCTTCCTATCGGCCGCCCCCCCTTAGCCCTCCCTGCTCGCCGGCCCATTCGCCGGTGGGTGCCCCCCTATCGAGCTTCACGCGCGGGAGCGGACTTCGCCGCCTCGCCGCTGGCGGAACAAGCCTGCCCCCCCCCTCCCGTCGTCCGACCCGGCAGCGAGCTCCCCGCTCCCAGACTTAGGTCGGGCATGTCCCCCCTACAGGAGGGTTTGGGGGAACAGTGGAACACACTCAGAACGTATCCTAAACATGCTCAAAAATAGTCAACAAATCGTCCCCGGACCATTCCTCGATTACTTTTGAACATCCCTCCCGTAGAGGGACAGGCCCGACTGAGTCCCAGACCCGCGGCCGCGGCGGCGCTCCTCGGCCGCGGCCAAGAGGGGCCTCTCCTGTTCGGACGCCCGAAATGGGCACGGAAGGAATGGGTACAATGCCCAACAGCAAATGTTGTACCAAACCAACGGCGGCCGCTGTTGGGCAGGCGGCCTTCTGTCTCGAATGGACACAGGCCGCGGCGGCGTGGACGGCGAGTCCTGTTCAAAATGAACAGGAGCTGCTGCTGGGCATTGTACCCATTCTTTCAGTATTGACTACCTACCAGACCACCCCAACCCAACCCGAAGACCCGATTTTCGGGTTGGGTGGGGTAAGGCTTCCACATGTGTTTCTTCGACGTTTCCCGACCCCCCCCCCACTAGAAATCGAGGGTAAATCTGAGCCTTCGGGTTGGGTTGGGGTGGTTTGGTGGGTGGTGAAGTACCCATTTCGGGCGTCCAGATCCTGGAAGAACACCTCCCCCTTCTGCAGCGGCCTGCGCGCGCGGAGCCCCATGCCTCGGCGAGCGCCGGGGGGGGGGGCAGCGGCATCGGCGTCGGCGTCGGAGCATCGGGCTGCATCGGCACGGCGTCGAGTCAGAAATCGCAGTCGGCTGCGCCGCGAGATTTTCGCCCGGGATCGCTTCTTGGCGCCCCCCAAAGCCCAGGAAGGGCCTCGCGAGAGCTCGACAATGGCGCAAAACTTGTCCAGGCCATGTTTCCCCCAACACCCTCTTTCCCTCATGGCGAGTCGTTGCCGTCCTCGCCGCCGCCATTGCCGCCCTCGCCCTCGCCGCCGCCGCCGAGCGCAGCTCCCGCGCCTTGCCCCTCAGTCTTGAACGAGCCGAACGGCAGCTGGGAGTCCTTCGGCCTGCGCCCAGCGACCGCCGGCCGCCACTCCGAGCTGGCGTCGCCCGCCGCCTCGCCCTCCGCCCCGTCCCGCTCCAGCGTGACCGCCGCCCCAGCGCGCGCGCGCCGGCGGTCCCGCGCGGCCTGCTTCTCCGCCTTGTGGCGGCGCCCAGACGGGGCAGGGAGGGCGAGGGCCTCTCAGAAGGCAGCTGCTGCTCCGAAGGCGCCGGCCTCACACACTTGGAGACCATAGGCCCGCGCCCTCTGAGAAGCAGGGGGATGCTTCCGAGAGCCCTCCCCCGCCTGCCCCCCCCTCTGGCCATCGCTCGGACGTCCTTTTCTTGTGCTTTTTCCAGTTTCGTGCGTGTTTTTTTTGGCCAAGTGATCAAGGATGCTCCTCGATGGTCCTCGCCGAAGGAAAAAGTACACACGCCCGAGCGATGCCAAGCCCTCTGCGCGTGGCCGAGCCTTCTCGGTAGCCCACCTCTCCCGCCGGCGGTCCCGCGCGCGCAGGGCCGCCGCGCCCCGGCGGCGGCCGCGCCGCCCTGGCGGGCAGGCGCCGCCGGCCACCGCCGCCGCGGCCGCCGCCAGCGGCGTGCCCGCGGCCCCGGACCCCGGCGCTCGCGGCCGCCGGGCGCGGGCGCGGCGGCCCGCGGCCGCGGCGCGGCCGGCGGCCGCGGCGGCCCCCGCGGGCGGGCGGCCAGCATCCGTGCCGCCCGGCCGCCCGGCCGAAAGGCCTGCCGCAGGGAGGGGGTCGCGGCCGCGGCTCGGGCCGCACGGGCTGTGCCATCGGCGGGCGCCGGGAGGGGGGTGGATGGGGGAGGAGGGGGGAGAAATGGGAGAGGTGGGGGGGGGAGGCGAAGCGGCGGGGAAAGAAGAGGGGGGTGGGCAGGGAGGAGGGAGGGGGGAAGCAGGATGAAAGGAGAAGGAGGAGGACGAGGAGGAGGAGGGATGGAATGGAGGGGGAAGGGGGAGGCAGAGGGGAGGAGAGGAGGGATGGAGGAGGGCAATGACAACGGGACATCGGGGCAACACGATACCCATAGTAATACCATAGGGCTGGACCATCCGGCCCACTCGCGCTGGGCTGCGCAAGCATCGTGCGAAACATGCGGCGCAAGCAAGCACCGCGAGGCCGAGGCATGCCAGCGCTGGTTCAGCTTGCTGACGACGCCAAGCCAAGAGCGAGGGAGGGAGACGGATGCGACGGGGACACGACACAAAGCGAAGAAACATCAACCCGGCCAGGAGGAGGCCAAGGGGAGACGACAGAACGGGGGGGGCAAGACGCACGAGGTATACACGACCCGCATCTCAGATGACACATCCCGCACGCGAGGGGTCGCGCCAAACGCACACCCCCACCCCCGCGGAAGGGGATCGGGTGCCATTCTTAACCACCCTCCTCCTCCTCCTCCTCCTCCTCCTCCTCCTCCTCCTCCTCCTCCTCCTCCTCCTCCTCCCAGGCTGGCTCGGACCTGCGGGCCACAGGGGCCCGTTTGTCTCAGCCCCCAGCCTGCTGCCCCAGGGGCGGTGGGCGTCACGGACGGCCGAGGGCGCCGCCATCGGGAGCCTTCCCCGGCCTGGCACAGGCGGCTGCGGAGGCGGCGAGCGGAGGCTCGCGGCTTGCTGGCAGTCGTGCGTGCGAGGCGGCTGCTGCGTGGGCACCACGGCGACGGCCACCTCGCCGACATGGGTGCAGATGGCGGCAAGCCTCGGTCGAGGGCTCCATCGAGGGCGTCGTCGCGACCCAGGTCGGAGGGCGGGGAGATGTGGCGATGCTCCCAACCCGACTGCCGCTGTGCCAAGAACCAGGCGCGGTGGCGATGGTGCAAGCACTGCGGTGCAGAGCGCGACGGCGGGGACTCGCAGCCGCCGTGGAAGAAGGATCGTGCTCGTCCTGCTGGTGGCGGAGCTGCTCATGCTCGGGGTCGTGGTGAGGTGGACCTCGGAGTGGACGCCATGCAGGCACTCGTCGCCTTTGCTGAGGGCAAGGGAGAGAAGGAGATGGCCGACAAGCACCGCGCTGCCATCCAGGCCAAGTCCCAGGCAGCCACCACGGCCCTCTCCAAGGAGGAGTTGCGCTCCATGGTCACGTTGGCTGAGAAGTCAGGTGACGTGCAGACAGCCGAGAAGTACAAGCAGCTCTTGGACCAGCTTGGCAAGGGCAGCGAGCAGCCAGCTCAACTCAGGGCCAACAAAGCGCATGCGAAGGTCCGCAAGCTCAAGGGCAAGCTGGAGGCGGCGAATGCGGTGCTCCAGGACCTGCTCGCGCAAGTGGACAAGCAGCGCGTGCTGGTGGCCGAGTTGGTCCACGAGCTCGAGAGCGCGGAGGCCGACTACAAAGAGGCGGTGGCCGAAGCCGCAGCTGGCGTGGGAGCCCCTGGCAAAGTTGCGGCGGCTGATGCTGGGGCACCGCTCGAGCTCTCCTTGGCAAAGCTCATGGACGGGGACTTGGACGATCTGGACCTCGACGATGACGGGCTCTTCGGCTACGCTGAGTTCGAGGAGCTCGGTCCCGAGGCCTTGGCGGAGGCGCAGCGCAGGAAGAAGCAGATGTTCGAGTCCTTCAGGCAGATGGCGGGCAGCTTCTTCGGTGAAGTGCGCCAGAAGGGCGAGGCCCTGCAGGCCGAGCACAAGGCCCTGCAGGAGCGGCTGGCGGCGAAGAAGCGCCGTACGGCAGATGAGGAGGAGCCCAAGGAGGAGCCAGAGCCTGCAGCAGTGGAGCAGCCTGGGCAGCCTGCTTCGCCTGAAGTGGAGGGCGATCTTCCTGCTGGCCAGCCAGGCACTGCGGGTGGAGCTGGTGACAGCGAGCGGCTCAAGGCCGAGGCTCGGGCTGCGGTCGCAGCGGCTTCGGCGAAGGGAGCAAGCAAGGGTGCGGCCGCTGCTACGGCGGGCGCCTCAGAGTGTGGGTAACACGTTACGAGGCATTCTGGTACATGGCAGTCGGTCAGCACGATCGACTAGGGGTGGCCGTGTACGTTTCAACTACTGCGACGTGGCCAAGGCTGGTGGGCAGTCGAGGCTGGCGAAAGGCAGTACCACTTCATCTACATCGGCTACGCCAGCGGCGGTGACCACGTCGACTGGTTCGGCCCCATCGTCGCCTGGCACGACGCGAAGGCCGAGCTGCTCGTCGGACCCCCCTCCACCCATGGCAGCCGTCAATGTTGCCAGAGGCCCCCCAATGGGGGATAATTGAGGGGGAGCGTCCTCCGCCGCGGGCGGACCCTCGGCAGCCCTCCCAATGGACGGCTCCACGTTCCCCTGGTCCCAGTCGGTCGGGGATGGTAAAGCTCTGGGCGCAAGCCTTGCGCCTTCTGGGCAGGGCGAGGGAGTGCGTCCCTGGGCGGCTGCCGAGAGGGGTGCGGAGTCGGCGGGCTCGCCGACTCATGTTCGTGTTCACGTGGCGAGTGATGGCGGTCCTTCTCGGCGTGGGGAGAAGAGGCGGCTATCAACTACTCCGTCGAGTGCATCGCCGCGTACCTCTACCAGTGCTCGCGGGACTGTCAGCACGGCGAGCGGAGCGCCAACTTTGGCGTCGGCGCGGCCGTCGACTACCACGGGAGCTCCGAGCCCGACAGCGACTTCGGGGTCGTCTTCTGAGGAGGCTGCTGGAGGCAGCCCCGCGGTCTTCTGCCCTGTGCGCCTTTCTCGGCCTGTGCTGTCGGTCACCCGGGGGTCCCCAGTCAGATAGGAGCCACTAGCTCTTTCGACTTTCTGCAGGCACCCCCAGAGCCGCCCGACCCTTCTTGCTTCGGCCTCAGAGTGGAGACTTGCAACGCCACTTGCTGGAACTCGTTCAAAGAAGGCTGAGTAATACCACGGCTCACATCATTTGTCTGCAGGAGCACCACATCGTGAGTCGGTCCGCTATCAAGGAGGCGACCTCGTGGTGCAGTCGTCACGGCTGGAAGGCTATCCTCTGTCCTGCGACTCCTGGTCAAGGGGAAGGCTCCTCAAGGGGCGTGAGCATACTTGCTCGGGATTTCCTTGGTTTGCATGAGCCTCTGTGGGGCTCCTTTCTTGCTCCTGGACGTCTGGCGAATGCTCTTGTTCATCTTCCAGGGGATGCTCCGTTTCTGATCATATCGGCGCATCTGTTCGGCAGCGAGGGGCTTTCGAGCAGAAGCTTGGATCTCCCTAGTACCGCAGGGGCTACGGTGAAGATGTCGGGGCATCAGGCTATTCTGGGGGGAGACTGGAATATGGCGCCTGGGCTGCGCTTGGAGCCTGGTTTTCCTAAGAAGCTGGAAGGGTCTTTGATCAAACCGTCGGGCGCTGGAACCTGCAGATCGTTGGGAGGTCTGAATTTCTTGGACTATTTTGTTTGCACTGGCGGCATGGCGAAGGGCATCCAGGAGGCGAGCATCGTGCAAGTGGCGCAACTGTCACCGCACAAGCCCGCCCACCTACACTTGTACCCGCGGCTGTCTCCGTTATGCGCGCTCACGTTTCGCAAGCCTCCGCCTATTCCGAAGGAGAGGCCGACTGGGGCTGGTCGTGCGCCTCCCGATTGGAGCAAAGTGCAGAATGCAGCCGAGGGATGTCTGGGGACTGCGCTCACTGGTGAACCATTGGAGGCCCAAAATATGTTGGACTGGGCCTACGGCCTCTGGGCTGACCTGGCCGAGCAGGAGCTATGTGACCTGGCTCAGGAGGCGCTGCCCTTCTACGGTGCCCGCAGTAAGTCACCGCAGCTGCATTGGGCCCCCATCATCAAGGACAAGCCCCCCCCCTTTGAGGCACCCCAAGCTGTTCGCGGGCAAGTGGGTTCTCATCGGTTCCAGGACCTGATGATCGAGTTTCGGGAGGGAGCTCCTGAAATTCAGAAGACCCTTGAGGCTATATTGGACCCACCGTCGTTCATGCTGATCAAGGGATGTGACGAATGGAACCAGTATCTTGACACCATCCAAGCTCTAGCGCGAGCGCTACCGCCACCAGAGGGGCGGCCCTCATGCTCGCACTGGAACCAGGCTGCGTGGCTGGAGGCTGCGCAAGACGTGCTCCCAGTTGTGCAGAAGTATGTTGTCAAGCTTCAAGGCGAAGCTCGTCGAGACGGTGAGGTCGGGTGGAACAACTGGCTCCTCAAAAAAATCAAGGAGGGGGGAAAATGCGCACCTTGCCTGAAAGGAGGCCCCTGGATGGAAGCCTGTCACGACCTTGTCCGCGGGAGGTTTGGCCCTTTCGGACCCTCTGAGTTTGCTCAAGAGTGAGGCCTCGAGCTGGGCCAAACTTTGAGGGGCCTTCGGAGGCTCCTGATCGCATGTTTGAGGGGGTTTGTCAGCCTCTTCCCATGGCCCCACCAGATCGCATTAGGTCTGTCTCGGCTGCCTTCAAGCAGCCCACGGCCCAGGCAGTGGACGGGTTTCACATGCGGCATTACTCGTGGCTCTCCGACGCCAGCTTGCGGGTGGTCAGCCTCTTTTTCGCGATCTTCGAATCGCTCTCCAGCCTGCCGCGCCAGCTCCAGATTATCCAGGTGGTTCTTCTTTCCAAAGCGCCAGGGGGGTATAGGCCCACTGGGTTGTTCGTTTCCCTGTTCAGGCTTTGGGGCAAGTGTAGAAGGGAGCTGACTGCGGAGTGGGAGGCCAGAAACGCTCGTGCCTTTTTCTCTGGCGGTTCTTTCGCTTGCGCTGCTGACGCGGTGCGGCGGCAGGCTGCCCGAGCCGAGCCTAGCACGAGGAAGGGGGGGTTTCGGCGATGCTTCTTTGGGACACGACGAAGTTTTATGAAAACTTCTCCCATCGTAGGTTGGAGAAGGAGGCTAGGAAGTTTGGGTTCCCTGTGCAGGTAACTCAGCTGTGCATCCAGGCCTACAGGTACGGACGATTTTGTTAGCATGGCCTCCGCGGCGGCGGGGCCTTTCTTTGCTCGTAAGGGAATGGTGGCTGGATGCCCCATGGCCACGACCCTCGTCCGTGTTTATATCCTGGGGCCGATGAGTAACCTCCGGCTTCCCAGGGGTGTTTTCCTGGCTCAGTTTATTGACGACTCGGGCCTGGGCTCCACGGTGAAAGCTCAGGACGTGCTTTTCGGCATCAAGGAAGGTTCGAGGCAACTGGAGCACGCGCTGGTCCACGAGTGCGGCTGCTCGATCTCGCTCTCCAAGGCAGGCCAGGGCAACCTTGTCTGCTCGGACGGATCGGTGGCCAGGGAGCTTCAGCTTTTCCTCGGCGGCCGCACGGGACCCCTGTGCGATAGCGTCGTGGATTTGGGCATTGACTTTACAGCAGGTCGGTCCAGAAGGAAAGCGTATATCAAGAAGGCCCTCAGAGAGTCCAAGCTCAAGATTCGCATGGCCAATCTGAAGGCTAAAACGCGCAAGGCCAGGGGCATGAGAAAAAACAGATCACCTCCCATGCCAAAGAGATCTGGGTCTCGGGGCCGCTTCCTGGGGTCCTGTATGGATCCGAGTGACACGGGGTTTCGGACGGGGAGCTCCACCGTGTTCGGCAGCAGGCTGGTTCCGCGATGGGGCCGAGTTGCAAAGGGAGATCTCTCACTCGCCTTCTAATCATGGAAGACGAGCCTACATGGCTCGCGGCGGTTGCACCTATTATTAGATATTCCAAAGAGCTCTGGTGTGCCCATGCAGGTGCATACCGTTGGTGTTTCAGTTTCGCGGAGCTCCGCGAGGCCTGGTGCGTTTTCTTCCAGAAGAAACCGCCTTCTGCTTGGCGCGAGGTCACGGGTCCCTTCTCGGCCATGTACATGTGCCTGCGGAGAATCCAATGGAAGTTCATAGATTGGGTCACGCTGGAAAACGATTTCGGGGAGAAGCTGGTTTTAACGGAGGTCAGCCCAGGGCTTTGGAAGGTGTTGTTGCGTCTTGCTCTGTTTCGAAGCCTGGAGCGGGTTGCTGCCCAAAATCAGTCCTGGAGGTCCCGAGGTTATGTTGCGATGTGCTCAAGCGTTCCCTTCACTCGAGTAAGGTCTCCCCATCTGGCAAAGCGGCCATCAGAGCTACCGGTTGTGATGCCAGCTGGACTCGAGACAGAGCTCGCTGCCTTGGATATCAGCTTGAATCCGTCGAATGCCCGTTGTGCGGTCAAGGACCCGACGCGCTACTGCACAGATTGTGGCACTGCGAGGCCTGCGCCGAGGAGCGAGCTGTAATAGTAACGAAGAAGTGCCAGGAACTGGCGGACTCTATGGACGAAGAAAATCCGCAAGATCTTCTCCTACTCACCCGAGGCATCTTCCCGCACCCAGGTGACCACTGGCCCCGACCCGACAAGGAGGGTAAGACCTTGTGGCAATGGGAGGAGGAGGTCAAGGAGGATGAGCAGCTGGTGATGGGAGAGCTTTTCCTGGATGGGAGCTGTACCAGGTGCATTGTGCCAGAACTCCACAGGGCGGCCTGGGGTCTTGCGATTTCCGATCGGGCTTTCAGGTTCCTTGGACGTGTTTTCGGCACTGTTTATGCTGCCCCCCCAAACATCCCAGGCTGGCGAGTTTGTCGCCGTTGGGTGCTCTAGCCAGGTGGTTGAAGGCTAGTGTGATATGTACACTGATTGTGCCAATGCTTTCGTCCAGGCTAATCGACCCCTGGGTGACCAGTTACTTTACCAGAGGCCCGATGCTGGGCTAATGTTGCACGGTCAGAGAGTGTCTCACTATATACGTTCTGTGAGGAAGGTCAAAGCACACCTATCCCTCGAGGAAGAGGGCGTGCCCGACGAGGAAATGCAGCCCCGCAGAGGGAATTTCCAGGCTGATCAGGCCGCGAAGGCTGGCGCCCGCCTGCACGAAGCACCGCCCCCTGATCAGGTGCAGGCCCTGGGCAAAGTTTATTTGTCGCGCAGACTGTGTGCAAGCTTGCGGCGGCGCTGCTCTCTAAGACTCTAAGTGGCACAGGCTTGATTTGAAAGATGTGGAGTTTGCCGCCCCAACGAGGCGGGCCCGTGAAGGGCATCCTGTCCGCCCCCAGCATGACTAGGAATTCGTGGCTGACAGATGGAGATGCTGTATCTGTCTCAAGGCCTCTCGGTCTCAGCTCCGCCCACCCGCGTGCGTTTGTTCGGGGGTGGGCGGCGATTGGGATTTCGCTGAGATGGAACGGAATGGTCACTTCGTTGTCGGCCTGCCGTGTGACGACGGCTCAGTTTTGCATATCTGCACGCGGTGCGCGTGTCATGTGGACCACGGGTCTCTCAAGAAGTCCAACCTCAGTGGTAGGTGTGACCAGGAAATGACAACTCAGAAGAGATGTCTGTGGCGCCGCGTGCTCAAAGGGTTCTACCCCAGTTACAGGCCCGCACTGAGGGTAGACCCTGAAGGTATTCAAGACCTCATGGAGGGGGCGGCGGGGAGTCTGAAGCGGGGGGGGGGTGTGATACTGCCTCTTCCGCTAAGTGCCAGGCGGTCTCAGCGCCGGCGGGAGGTGTTGACCTGCGGGCTGTCGAAGCAGAGGCCGCCCATTTCCGTTTCGAGGAGGATCCTCGAATCGAGTTGCCCTGTGTTCCGTCCCCGTCTCGGCGTGGGGCACCCTTGGCCTCGGTGCTCGCACGCCGCGACGAGGGCGACTCGAGTTCAGACTAATGCCTGGAAGCAGCTAGCCACGGGGAGTCCTCCAGCTAGCTGGAGATGTCTTCTGTGGC